TAAGTACTTTCAAGTTTTGAATCCTAACTGCGATATTGTATATTGTACCTAATTTAAACTGTTAATTGGATTACCGCGTGTATTCTAAAAATAAATAAATATAAAAAAAATTCCTGGATTTAGCAACATAGTAAAATAAGCAAAAGATTAAGTTTAAAATCGGATCAAATGGTCCCTCAATTAAAACTACTTTCGGTTTCCGCTTTCTATTGATGTTATTCTGACGTAAGCCCATAAATAACATTTTTATCATAACAAACGTGCGAGAACATGTTCCATAATAGAATTTTATTTTCTACTGAGAATGCTGAGTAAGTTGTTGCACTTATCTGAAAATAATGAGTTTGTTTTGGTTCCTTTATCTCTTTATTTTATCAAAATTATGTGTCATCCTCAATAATTTTGGATAAGATATATACCAAGCCTGTAAGTGTGGACTATTTTAAGTGTGTGCTTATCAAGATATATCAAATTTCGGTCTCAGACAGGGAAGTTTAATCCCAGGCCAAAAAGCCAAGGAAATTAAAACATTTTCGAAACCAGAGATATTTATTCAACCTTTTATCTTAATTTTCATCTATGTTATTATGCAACTTTATTAAACACAAACCTCGATCTAATAAATTAGGTACTATAAAAGCACTGATGTTTTTAAAATAAATGAAGTGCATTGTTCAAATTCAAACAAAAAAGGAACCATCTGTTAAAATTTTTTTATAGTAAAGAATACATTTAACAATTTCCAGGCTTAGGTATATGCGATTTTTTTCTTCTAAACGATACATTTGTGTTTACCTAAATAGAATTATTGTAATGTTATCCTTTGTAACTACTTTTCGGTATAATAATTCTAAAGCCCGTCTATTCATTAAATATTCTTATCACAACTTGCATTCGAATGTTTTCAGTCTTTTATTGCCGTTGGAATAATACAATTGTGTATTTTATAATATTTAAAAGTTAAACTTCAGTGTCACCGTATATAGGACACACAACAATGTTCATACTGTAGTAAAAGTATTGACGCCTAACTTTTATAGTTAAAGTATTAAATTTAACAGAAAGATATTACTAAATTTATAATTTTACCTATTAGACCAGGGGCGATATCTGTCTTGGGTTGGGTAAATCGTATTATAATCCTAGTTTTTGGATTTAATCGCTTTGAAATATTATTAGGAATGATAAAATTTAACTATGCGTACACTTCAAACAGGTAACTGGTAGATAAACTTTACGATCCCAGCAAAGTTAGGTCTACTACAGGTTCGCGACCCTGTCCTGCCTACGTGAGCCGTGGTTCACTTTCACTCCCTTTAACCGAGAGGGTATCACGTTCCAACCTATCATCCTTGTCAAAGACCCCAAAATTTCCTAAACCATCCTAATATCCGTCTACCAACCCGCACAGGCCAGCGTGATAGAGAAACGGCTATGTAAAATAACAAACGATGAAGACGCAAGGCCCTCAGTCTCCGGCAGTCCCTTGAAACTAGGCTATGGTAGCAGTCACGGAGGTACAGGGACAGAGGGTGCTAAGAATCTCCGGGGTGGACCAGGCTACCTATACAAACGACAAAGGCAAAGAATATGGTTTATGGCAACATTATAACACCAGAACATTGATGGAGGACGAAAAACTTGAGGAACTTAAAGGAACACAATTGAGGAGAATCTTCTAATGATGGCGTCGGATTTATGATAAATAAAAAACATAAGTGATAAAGTTATTTATCTTATCTACAAAGTAAACGACAAAATTCGATTAAAGATTATCCAGGTATCACGCACCTACCAGTGCCCACACAGACGAGAAGTTGAGTGGTTCTACGATGACGTTAACACTGCGCAGAAAGAAGAGGTAACCACCAACTATACCATACTGATGGGAGACCTAAACGCAAAAATAGGCCACAAGCAGGATGATTCGGAATTTGTACTTGGACGTCACGGATATGGCAGCAGAGACGAAAGGGGTCAAACTCTAATAGAATTTCTTCTGCAACACATAGTGTATGTCATGAACACCCATTTTAAAAAAGTCCCTAAAGAAAGTGGACTTGGCAATCACCAAATGGCTTGAACAAGAACGAAATTGACTTTATCTTTACTAACAAAAAAGACGTTGTTCAAGACGTAACTGTATTAAATCAATTTTCAACCGGAAGTGGCCATAGACTGGTTAGAGCGAAGGTAGTCTTGAACGTAAAGAATGAACGAAGAAATATGGTAACAAGGACTAAAATGTTACGTTCACTGCGATTACTAACACAAAGGCATACCAGGAAGAAATAGATAGAGTAATGCAAAAAAGAAGGGAAATGAAAGATAAGCACACAGTGTAAGGAATTTTAACACTAAAGAAACAACTAATCCCATAGAACAAAATAAAAGCCTTAAAGTTCTAAAACAAAAGTTGAAGACAGGAACCAGGAACATTTATAAGCTAAAAAATAGACAAGGACATGCTGTATATGAATAACAAGAAATTATAAAAATTATCGAAGAGTACTATAGAACATTACATCGTCGAGATGCTCACATTCCAGAGGTGGAAATCCCAGCCATACAAAATCAAGGATCCAGATATAACCGAAGAGTTATCAGCTCGTTATCTCATTTATATAAGCTCTTTATGAGAATAATTACTAACAGACTGGAACATAAGCTGGATTGTCACCAACCATTAGAGCAGGCCGGATTTAGGAGTGGCTTTGGAACGAATGACCACCTACAAGTAATAAAATCCTTAATAGAGAAAGTTACAGAATACACCAAGCCATTGATATTAATATTTGTAGACTTTGAGAAAGCGTTTGACTCAGTCCAGCATAGCTGCATGTTAAGAGCTTTTACTGGGTACAGTATTGATCATAGGTACACAACTCTTCTTATTTTATATATATATATATATATATATATATTTAATATTATATATATATATATATATATTATATAATAGCGCAACAGCTGCAGTTAGATTATGTAACACAAATACATTTTCCTTCAAGAGGGCTATGGTAACACAAATACATTTTCCTTCAAGAGGGCTATTAGGCAAGGAGATACCATCTCTACTAAGCTATTCACCACTTTGTTGCAGAGTGCTATGAGAACAATAATTGGGAGAATATTGGAGCCAACATAAATGAAGAGTTTCTGAACAACTTGAGATTTGCAGTCAACCTAGTCCTTATTGCAGACCGGGTAGATCATACCTGCCAGCTTCTTCAAGACCTTCAGAGCTCGTGTACACACGAGATGGACTTGACATTATTTTTTCCAAATTCAATATATGAGCAACCTTGTACTGGCGAAAAACATCTCAACTAACTACTGAACAGGTGTATAGCTATAAATATCTGGTGCCACGAGATTAAATTAGGAAGAGATAATCAAACAACGGAGCTAACCGATAATATGACTGGCATGGGCACTTACGGAATGAGAGTCTTCAGATCAGCTATTCCCATGTGCTTGAAAAGGGAGGTCTTTGATCAATGTGTACTCCCAGTTCTAACGTATGAAGCAGAAGCATTGACCCTTACCAGAAATGTAATCAATAAAATACAAGTAGCACAGAGAGCGATGGGGAGGTCAATGCTGAATCCCTCAGAGACACACAGTATCAAATACAATAGTTTAGGAGACAAACTGGTGTTACTGACGCAGTTCAAAGGATTACAACATTGAAATGGAACTGGGCGGGGCATGTTGCCAGATTAAAAGATGGAAGGTGGACGAACAAAATTCTGGAATGAAGACCTAGACACGATGCCTATCGTAATCGAGGAAGTCCTCCAACAAGGTGGTCAGATGACATCAAGCGCATTCAGCACAACTGGATTCAGGATGCTCAAGATAGAATCCATTGGAATTATTTGCGAGAGACCTATGTCCAGCAGTGGACTCAAAACTGCTGATGATATTGATGACACTTCAAAAGTGGGCTAAATTTTTTATTAAACAATTTGTGAAAAAAAATTCATTGTTTTTGTTTTTTTTTTTTTTTCGTTGCAATATTTCAGCAGCTATAGATTTTAGACATTTTACAAAAATGTTTTACAGCTAAATTTCCTATAAGCAAAAATTGATTGCAAATTGAAAAAATAGAATTATTACAAAAAAAAAAATAAATGGTTTTTCAATAATTTTTTTCAGGTATTTAAGAACACAAGAAGAAAAAAATACAAAATTTCAGCACGATCAATCAAGTAGTCTTTGCAAATAATTTTGCAATCTAAATATTTGAAAAAAAAGTTATTAATTTTTAAACTTATGCAGAGCCAACACAAAAAGCAGTAAATAGTTGATTTTTTTTATGTAAAAAGGCATTCAAGCTTTCAAATAAAAGTCGAACCATTGAAATCAGTTGATTAGGAAATCGTGGAGGTTTTTTTAAACAACTACAATTTTTAAGCTAATAAACAAATACTATAACTTTTTCAATTTTTAATCAACATTTTTTTCTATATTTATGTCGAAAGTTCAGCAAGAGTTATGATTGAACAAAGTTGACCTGCATTTATAACAGTCATCAGAGATTTGATTTTGATCTTTAAAAACGAAACAAACAAGCTAAATTTTGCCGAGAATGTTAATTTTATGACCCCAAAAAAGGCGAACAAGTTTGCCACTCCTACCCTTAAAACCCTCCCTCGTAAGGGGAAAGAACAGTAAAAAAATCGATTTTTCTCATGTTTCAAAAACAAGAAATGTACAAAGAGATAATTGTGAACAAAAATTTTTTTAGAAACGAAGCTTGAAGGACTGGCGATTTTAAAAGTCAATTTTGTCACTTGTAGCAGAGACGTTTTTGAGAAAGGTCAAAAATGAAAAAAAAAAGTAAAAAACTCAAAATCAAGAGTGCAATGTATCATATCTTACTAGGACCACACAATTTTGCCAGATATGACTTGTTACAGAAAAATATGACATAATACAACTGATAACAATATCATATGGAAGTGATATCAATTATATAAAAATATTTTTTTTAGGCTTTAATTCCAAGTTTGAGAATCAGTTTTGGGATATTTCTAGCCATGTCAAGGCTCCAATTATATACAAAAAATGATCAAGATCCAAAGCTATGGGACGATGGATTCATGTATGCACCTGTGTTATTTGCTGCTGTCTGGTCAATATTCGGTAAGAGTTGATATTAATAATAGTATTATTTTATGATCGAAAGGTTACTTTAGTAATATAGTTTTTTAATGAATAAAGAATATAGTTGATTAACTGCGCAGATCATTATGACTAATGTCGTTCAAATTCCATAAAATCACTCGCCTGCTTTATGTTCTTTTAATGGCGGTACAAACTCCTGTAATTTCTGCCTGGAACTTGACGGTCCCATAAACCTCGCTGTGAAGTTGCAAACCAATTTGATGAACCCACAGATCTCCACTTTTTATTTTAATTTATTTTGTGTTTTTTCTCTGCATAATATATTCTTCGACTAGCATTTGCTTTTTTAGTGTAACACAGGGATATACATGCATATGGTAACAAAGCACGTGGTGGTCGTGTGTATTAAGGTATATAAAAAAATGCTTATTAAAAGCTTAAAATTTTTATTTTAAAGAAGATCTTTTCGAAATTGACTCATTCCATCATCAGTTTAATAAAAAGTTGTCAAAAAAACATTGTATGGCCACATGAAAACATAGGAAGGAACTCTGTATTAAAAACTATCCAAAAGGTGTTTATGAAGGTAATGCAATAGACTGTTGATTTGTAGATTACTAAAAACTGAAAATGGGGGCATCTTACATGACCCCCTGTAGTTGGTGAGGTTTTATTGACTTACATTACCTCTGATCTGTGCTGGAGTCTAGGGCTAACTGAGTTTTTACCATGTTTTTACAAGGACATATTATGTTTCTATTAATAAAGTCGTTGCATAATGTAAATATTATCAAGGAAATTGCTAATATGCACTTAAACTCTCAGCAACATATGGACATCTGGGACTGTTTCCCATAAATAAACTTGCAGATGCTGTTTCACAACCACACATTCGGTTCTGGTAAGAAAAAGTGCAAAAAATTCTGGGAAATTATAAAAAACTCGCTCGGAAATGTGACTAATCCAGATATCTGACAATTTTTTAGTTATTATAGGCGTATATAAAGAAAACTTATACGTTTCCGCGTAAATTTCGCCGTCTTTTTTAAATTATTAACAATTTAGTGAAAAAAATGCCATTTTTTCGATTTTTGCTTACCATTGAAAATCTTCTACAGATAGAAGAATTAAATATGCAGAAGATATAAGCAAAAAATTGAAGGAATACTGTAAACATACAGAGGAAGTTGAAATAGAATGGAGAAATATAAAAAAATGTATAAACGAAACAGCTTCTGAACATGTAGGGATAGAGAGAAAGAACAAAAAAGAAGAATGGTATAATCAAGACTGTCATAACATGTTAAAAAAGAAGATAGAAATAAGACAAAAGTGGATCAGAACAAACAGACAAGAATATAAAGAAGAATACAACAAATTAAAGACATAATGTAAGAAACAAATAAGGAAAATTAAACGAACCTGGTTAAATGATAAGATAAATGAAATAGAAAAAGAAAACACAAAAAGAAACACAAACATTTTATAAGAAAATTAGCGAGCAGAACAAAACCTTTAAAGGAAAGATAAAAGCCATGAAGGATAGAAATGGAAAAGTATCAGAAAATGACAAAGAGTTTAAAGAAATCTGGACTGATTATTTTAAAGAATTATTAACAGTGCAAGAGGACCAAGACTTAAATGGAAACGTGGAAGAAGAGACCACGATGATAGAAACCGAGCTAGAAAAACCAACGAAAGATGAAGTTGAGGAAATTATAAACAGTAGTCGCAACGGTAAAGCACCAGGTATGACGGTATAAACATGGAACTTATAAAATATGGTGGACATGAACTCAGAGAAAAAATACCAATTAATAAAAGTCATATGAGACAAAGAAAAGATGCCAGAAGAATGGTACAAAGGACAAATTATCATAGTCCATAAAAAAGGAGACTAACAAATGTGTAATACTGACATTATTAAACACAGCGTATAAAATTATGTCAACCTTAATACAACGAAGACTGGCCGAAGCGACTACAAATATCATGGGACAGTATCAATGCGGATTTATTAGGGGAAAGTCAACAAAAGATGCCATACATACGCTAAAACAAAATTTTGGAGAATACTTATGGATATAAAATAGAAATTGAACTGCTTTTTATAGACTTCCAACAAGCATTTGATTCAATAAACAGAGCGAAATTACTTACAACTATGAGAGAAATGAGAATACACAACGAATTAAGAGAGAATCAAGGAGATTCATTATCTGCAACTCTGTTTAATCTTGCCCTGGAATATATAGTCAGAAAAAATCAACAAAGGTACACTTAGAACGAGAGAGGAACAAATAATAGCATATGCCGACGAGATTGTGTTAATAACAAAGAACAGAAAAACAATGGAAAGTATGTTAAAAGAATTGGTAGCAAAAGGGAAAGTAATGGGTTTAGTAATAAATTAAGAAAAAACAAAAATAATGAGATTTGACAAAAAATATGAGAACAAAAAGACTAGACTGGGAGAATATATATTTGAAGAAGTAGAAAAGTTTAAGTATTTGGGAATATTATTAACAAACAATGGAGAAAGGGAAACAGAAATTAAAGAAAGGATAATTACAGCAAATAAGATACACTATATGCAAATAAAAAACTTCTAAAAAATAAATTACTGAGCAAGAAATCGAAAATGAAGATTATAAAACAATAATTCGACCGACTATGATGTATGCTGCCGAAACCCTTAGCATAACAAAAAAAACAAGAGGAAGACCTTAGAATACTAGAAAAGGAAAATACTAAGAGCAATCAATATATAGGACCAATAAAAAATTAATGAAAACCAATATAGACAAAGAACGAATCATGAACCACTAAATTAAATTAAAGAGGATATAGTTTGTAAAATAAAACAAACAAAGGGCAAAATCTCTTGGAGATCAGGACCATCTACGACAATATTTTCAATATTGGAATGGACACCAGCTAGTAAAAGAAGACGTGGAAGACCAAGATCTACATGGCTACAAAAAGTAACAAATCATCTAAACAGTGCGGGCGTAAGGCAATGGAGAGAAAAAAACCAGAGATAGGAAACAGTGGAGAAAAACAACAGGAAAATTAAATAAAGAAAATGAGGACTGATCTACCTCGTAACATAGATCTAGAGAGCTTAAGCGGCGTAACCCCGTGTGGGGTATTTAGCCACAATATATAATATATTGAAAATCTTAATATTTGAGGTAAAATTAGAAAACTTCAAAACATAAAAAAAATGTAAAATGGCCACTTCTAAAAGTTGTAAAATTAATTCGTTGCTTCAAAAACTGCAAAATAAGGCAAAACCGTTATTTATTTATAACTATTGTAAAAAACAACCTAAGCATTTGTTGTTCCGCTCAAAGTTGGATATTGTGGTCTTTAATAAACCATCAAAGTTTCAGATCGATCCATTAATTAGTTTAAAAGTTATTCTATTTGTTTATCTATTTGTTTTATAACAGAGACCTTTGTTTTGTAGTCCACAATAGTAAGAAAATAATAGAGATACAGTAATTTTAGGCATACCAAATGAAATTTTAAGAGTGAATCTATCAATATACACAAAAAAAAAAGTGAAAAAATGAATTTTTTACATCACAAAACCCTTTTGTAAAATTATGGTTATTTTTAATTTATAAACATTTAGAATAGCTTTTAAACTACTGCTCGAAAATAAAATCTTGTTTTATATTCAAAAGCTGATATTTTACACGAATTTAAAAAAAGTTATTCTACGATAATTTGGGGCAATGTTAGTTTTAATTTTAAATTGACAACTAATTTGTTTATAACAATAAGGAACGCAATTTTCGGCATTTGAAAGAAAGGGATTCGTAGTTTTTGTACAACAAATTGTACACACGTTGCACTATGCAGGATCTTCTGTGAATTATCAAAAATATGGTTCAAATTAAGACTAATAGTGGCGAGTGGACTGGTGATGAAGCAGAATTGCAGTAGAGAAAAAAAGTCAAGCTAAGCTTAACCAACGTCAAAGAAACACAAGAAAGAACAGAGAAATAATAACGAAAAGAGAATACAAGCTACTAGAATATGGAGAAGAAAAAAAGAGAGGCTTTGGAAAAACAAGTACAAGAAATTCTAGAACATAACAACAGATACGAGAGCAGCAAAATTCTATAAAAGAAAGCACTTAGTCATTTAGACCAAAATTAACAATATGCAAAATACAAGGAAGGAGAACTACTAACATAGAAACAAAACATTATAATGAGATCGAAAGAATACTTTGAGGAAAACCTAATGCAGACAATGGAAATGATCAAAACGAGACAATATATTTTATGGCGGACATTGAAAATCCGAGTTATGAAGAAGTAGTTCAAATAATAATAAAAAATAAAAAACAGTAAAGCGTCAGGAACGAACGGAGTTTCGGAAGAATTGTTGAAATATGGAGGATCCGAACTCTGGGGAAGAATCCATTACCTGATAAAGTCGGTATGGACCAGGGAGCAAATACCAGAGGAATGGACAGTTGGTCTTATATAGCCAATATATAAAAAAGAAGAGGGAATGACAGAATTATAGACCAATTACATTACTAAATGTAATATACAAAATCCTTCCTGGCATTATCTACACTTGATTGTCAGAATACTCCGAAAATATCATTGGTGATCATCAAAATGGATTCAGATGAAATAGAGCCACTACAGGCAACATATTCATACTTAGAACAATACAAGAGAAAGCTTATGAATACGACATAGAACTATATAATATATATGTAGACTGTAAACAAGCTTTTTAGTGTGAAAAGAGACAAAATGCTGGAAGACCTCCGAAATCTAAGTATACCAAAAAAAATATATCAGCCTCATAAAAATGATGTGGCAGGGTTCAAAAGCCTCAGTTAGAGTAGATGCAGAACTGTCTCCCCTGTTTGACATCAACATGGGGGTGAGGCAGGGGGCGTAAAATAAACGAAACAAAAACTAAGTACATGACCATCAAAAGAACACCTCAGAATGAAAATAATATAGTAATAGACAACTATACTATTGAATGTGTGGATGCCCTCACGTATCTGGACATAGAAATTAATCAGAAGAATTCCGTAAGTAGCGAAATTTATGCACGTATTTCCAGTAGAAATCGTACTTACTATGCTAATAAAAGATTGATGACATCGAAATAATTAGACAAAGAACAAAAATTACTGTCTACAGAACTTAACAGGTAGTAAAAATGACGAAAAAAGAGGAAGCCCAACATAGGACATTCGAGAGGAAGTTACTGAGAAAAGTATATGGCCCGGTGCAAGAGGAAGACGGTACATGGAGAATCAGAAGATTTGTGAAAAGTCAAAGACTGTAATGGCTGGGACAAAGACACGAAAACAACAAAAATGTTACAGTGGAAGCCGGTAGGAAGGCGGAAAAAAGGAAGGCCAGGATGATATTTCACTTTTCAATAATTTGGTACGAGAAAATGTCTTTTTCCTTCAGCAACCACTGGCAGCTACAATTTCTTCTAAATTTTCGCAATTTTATAGCTAAATAACAATATAAACCGATCACAACAGTATATCCTCCATGGTCCATGACAAAAACCGTCCCATGATAATGAACATTGGACAAGAAATTGTTAAATGTATACAATACTCATTCCTTCGATTTATTTGAAGAATAAATTGACACAACCACATACAATTTATCGTAGCATTTAAACCTGTCTACTTTGGTTTAAAATAAGGCATACGCTATACTTTATTAAGCTATACGCTAAATAAATAAATTGTCATTTACTGATAAACACAGACAGCTAAAAAATTGTTAGCCTCACTTATCTGTGACAACATTTGACATGACCACAAACCCGAGGGACTCAACTCACGCCCGATAAATACGGAAATGCATAACCATGATAATACCAATTGGTTTGTTTCGTGGCGGAAAATCGTACTGGATAAGAGACACATTATTTTATGGTGAGAAAACAGAATATATATTAGAGATTTTCTAAACATTAATTATTCGGCATGTTTTTGTTATTTAATTCATGAAAAAACAGTTTAAGTGTATTTTTACATAAAAGATATTAAAATACAACAGTCTCTACCCATTTGTTTGAATTGAATTTTCTACTGAGAGTAACAGTCTGAAGTCAGTTTTAAGTTGAAGTCCATTCCAGTCAGAACCTGTTTGACTGTAGTTACAATGACACAAGTGGACAGAACAAGTCCGTTGTGAGTGGTATGCCCATACAGGACTGTGTCGGCGACAGCCTTGTGGACCATCACTGGATGCGTTCCGTTGCATGGTTTGGCGGTGGAAAGAAAAGAGCTCTATGGAGAGGAGGCGCAAACCTTACTATGGCCCAGAGAAGACAGGAAAGGGAAAGGTCAATTGAAAGATGGCAAGAAGAATGGGACTACATGGAGGATGTGGCACAGTGGACGAAAATACTGATCCAAACATAAGAGATTGGGTGGACTGTGGCCACAAGTGACTGGATTACTTCCTGATGCAGATGCTCACAGGACAAGGGTGTTTTAGAGCCTACCTTTATAGGTTCTGAAAGGCTGACACAGATGAATGCCTATACTGTGAACACTCTGACACTGTGACACATATGATGTTAGATTGCAACAGATGGATAGTAGAAAGGAACAAAATGGAAAGAGAGACAAAAATATGGAATCTACAAATTGTTTAAAGCTAGTTGAATACTATTCTTAAAAATGGGCAAAGATATTCTAGTAAAACCTACACCCTCATCAATGAATTAATTGGCAAGTTGGCAGAGATATCACTAGACTATAAAGACCATAGTTAGTGCTGCGAAATGGAACATTAAACATGCAAAATTTTGTATTTCTGGTAACCCTACTAAGTATTATAAAGGAGAAGAGCTCAAGCAGGGCAAACAAAACAGCTGGAGTTGCATTTGGATATCTTAATAAGAGTAAGTATATGCAAATGTCTGTTCAATGTAAAAAACAGGCCCACAAACAATTTAGAATTAACGGTCAGCAAGATGATTATGACTGTTTTGTGGCTTTGAGAACTCAGTGTGAAATTTTAAGAGTAGACAGACTGTCTGAAACAGTATTAGATAGGGTACAAAACAACATTTCCAATAATCCATAATCTTTTTGGTCTTAAATTAGAAGCAAAAGAAATAGGTATAATTTACCATTTAGAATGGCCTATAATGACGGGATTGGCTTAAATTTCAAGGACTCTGCCGTTTGTAGAATATTTCTCATCATTCTACTCGGATAGAGATAAAAATCAGATATTTTACTTTCTTTTAGTTTTGACAGTTCAATTTGTTTGAGTTCCATAACACTTACAGCAACTGAAGTCTCTGATGCTATTTTAAGCTGTAAAAATCAATTATGTGGGCCAGATGGTATCCTGGCTTACTTATGTGTACTTACAAAATTCATTGTTTTTTTTTTGTGATTTTTAACAGATCACTTGGTACTTTTAGCTTTCCCAGTCTCTGGAAGAAAAGCTTTTAAAGCTGATTTTTAAATCAGGTGCAAGGAACAACATATCAAACTGTCTGTAATCAGTCAGAGCTGCCTAAGTTGCTTGATTGGTTGGTTAGTAAGAAATTGACATGGAGTTTTATAGGCATTTTTAATCCTGAACAATTTTGCTTTAGAAGAGGGAGGTTGACAGATGCCAATCTGTCTTTATTGAGACAGATTTATTCCAGGTTGACTAGTTATATACTCACTTTTCTAGAGCATTTGATCGGGTCAACCATGAGGTCCTTCAATAGATTCGAATTTTAGTGGCTGTAAGCAGACAGTAAACCTCAGACACACTGAGGGAGTGATACCTCATTTGAAATAACTGTACAATCAGGGGTGCCACAAGACTCCCATTCTAGCAGTATTTTATTTTGCTTTCTATGGTCTATTTAGTACAAAAAATCAAAAATTGTACTGTTCTTATGTTTGTTGACGATGTAAAACTGTTTACAAAATTCAATCCTGGAATGATGCTGTTCTATTACAGTTTATATTAAGTTTATATTACAGATCTTAAATAATTTTATAGTTTAAAAAAATGTCACTTAATATAAACAAGATATTTTTGAAGCAAAGAAAACCAATTGCATTTGTTTACTCTATAAATACTTTGCCATTGGCCTTTAAAAATGAAGTATCAGACTTAAGAATCTGGTTAGACACCAAACTTTCAACCTCAAGCCACATCAATCAAGTAAAGAACAGGGCAATGAAAGTAATGGGATTTATCCATTGCACATCTATAGATCTGTCTGTATTCACATTTAGAAGACTTTATTGTGTTCTCGTTAGGCCCATTCTAGAGTATGGATCAGTTGTATGGTCCCCATCATACAACTGTTAAATTGAACAGATTGAAAGGGCCCAAAATAAATTTTTGAGGATAGCAGCTTTTAGGAGTGGATACCAGAGAGAGGAATACGACTATCAGTGGGTAAGAGACAGTATTGATTATATTGAAACTCCATCAATTAATATTTCAAAAGGTTTCCAAAGAATCATATTAATAGGGATTTCTGCTGATATATTCCAATACAGTTATTTTATTATTCTTAAATCCTTATCCTCAATACCATTACTTAGTGTATTGTATATGTTTTTATCAATGTAAACATATAATCATACTGTTTATCAACATTGACTGATAAGACTGTGGTTATCAAAAACAAATATAAAAATTTTTAAAACAATATCACTCAACAACCAACTGGATTTTTACTGTTTTGTTGCAAAATAAAAGCAATGATAATAAAGGCAAAAAATTATCATTTTAGTCATGAAGAAATCTGGAGTAAAACAGCATTAGATGAAAAATTAGATTAAAATTTGTAGTAGATTATAAGGTTTCTTTAAATCTTTATATCTTTTCTCTTCAATACATGTTTTGTTTATTTTATTTATTTGTTTGCAAGGAATGAATAATAAAGTATAAAGATACTTTTTACATTTTAAAAATTTTAATTAGCTTTTTTCTTCCACATATTTGGGAAAAGTTGCATGGAAATACAATATTTCGTTTGTGTGCCGGTAGGGATATTATACACATTGAGACATTTTTATAAAACAAAGGACAAACAGAGGATTTCTATTAACCTTTTATTTATACCACCGAACAACTTTATATATACCATCAAAGAAGATAGTCGCATAAATATGCGTCGTATATATTCTTTGATGCATATAAGTGTTGAATTTTTATTTTACCCAATGATTGCAACGATATCTTTTTATTTGCATTAAATTCAAATATGTACAAAAATAATAATTGCCTTTTTTAGAATAGCTAACTTGTTTTTATAGTCAGAATTTGAATGTGTATATATTTGAACACAAAATCATATTTGTTTAAATATTCACCGATAAGGTGGTTATAAACAAAAAATTAAACTATAATACACTTACCAAGATAGTTATCTACGTTGAACTTCCTCAAAACGAAATATTTCTTTTTTCAGATCCAACCTCACGCTTTCTTATTTCAAATAGCACATGGCCGAGACTTGTTGCTACTGCCGGAACTTGTTGACATGTGCAGGTCTTCTTTTTTTGTGGATGGGTCTGGCTGAATATTCGGGACATTTATTGTTTCCGCTAGCGGGAATAGTTTGTGGTAAACTTTTATTTTATTTGGAATGTTTTATTTATAGTTATAGTTAAAGTAGTTATGGTAATAGTTAAGTAATGATACATGAAAGTAACAAGCGTTAAAATAATAAACTTTCTTGAACCCGTGACCATCTAACTTTCTTCGGAAAGTTAGTAGTCTGAGCGCTGAAAATACTTAGTAATTTTCTTCAAATTTTAGGTATTGGAGCCTCTATAGAAATAGCTCAATGTGAAATATTGCTGGCTCAATATTTCAGAATAAAGCACGCTCTTCTGGCTAACGTATGTCAAGGAATGGCATCATTTGGCTTCGTTATCGTTCCTGTCGTTATAGGACACAATGTGTTAAGTTCTAGTCTATTGCACGTAGTGTTATGGTATCAGGCTATTATTTTACAAGGTTTGATATGTAACATGGTGTTCAAAAAACCTGCTTATTTAAAATCGAGACAACGAGAAACATATAACTATATAACGGTAAGTAGGTAATACCACATATGCGTTTTTACTGTTCTTTTGTCTGTCCATTTTTTACCGATTTCCAGGTTTTCGGGTTCCCTGCCATTTCCCTTATCCATTTCCCTCTCTTAATCCTAACTTCCCTGATTTATTCCATATTCCTCTTTGTAATCTTTCTTCTCTCTTCTCTTTTGGCCACTATCACTTTATTTACTAATCTATTCTTTGGTGTTTTATTTAGTCTCTATTGATTCCTGTTTTAACTCGTTTCTGAATTTTACTTTCTTTCCTTATTCAGCTCCGTCTTCCCAGATATTTTCTCAGCTGCTTCATTTCTGTTGGATTTATGGTTTTTGTGTGTTATGTTTCAATCAATCAAATTGACCATGTTGTTGTGGACGTAAGACATTACAGCGATGTTATTAATATACGTACCAGACGTGGAGCAAACATTGACGCCGATCACTACCTGGTCCAGGCTAAACTAAGGGCATGCATTTCTAACCCAAAAAAGGCAAGGAAGCAAAGAAGATAAATTCGACGTGGACACTGGACAGACTACGAAACCATGAGATAGTTAGAAAATTTGAACACAAACTTAAAAAAAACTAGAAGACCAAATGAGTAGTACTATTCAAAACATAGATAATTACTGGAATGAGTGCGAAAATATCCTAAAAGAAGTAGCAACAACAGTTTAAGTAAAGAAGAAACAAGAAAGGAAGGGGACAGAATGGTATGATGCGGAATGCGCACAGGCCACTCAAAAAAAGAATCAGGCGTATGGGAAACTCGAAAACAGAAGGACAAGACAGAATTAAGAGGAATACAAACGGATGACACAAGCAGAGAAAAATATACTAAAACAAAAGAAGAAACATTTAGAAAACCAGCTACAGGAACTGGAAAGGCTCAATTCACAAAGCGAAGCGCGAAAATTTTATAAAAATGTGAACCACAACAGAAAAGAATTTAAACCTAGAATAACTATAATAAAAAGTAAGGAAGCCGAAATTATCAATGAACCGGATCAAATAGTGGAGAGATGCCAGAAGAAGTTGCCAAGGCAATAAAAAGGTTAAAAAACAACAAATCTTCTGGAGAAGATGGTATATCTCCTGAGCTGTTCAAGTATGGAGCAAACGCGCTAAAAAATACATAATAAAACTTGTTGCATCCATTTGGAGTGAAGGAAAACTCCCAGACAGTTGGAATGTAGGGATTATAAGAAAGTGGATTCACTAATATATGACAACTATCGAGGTATTATCCTCCTAAATACGGCTTACAAAGTACTGGCTTATATACTTTATGATCGTTTACTAGTATATACTGAGAAAAAATAGGCAAATATCAATGTGGTTATCGAAAAGAAAGGCCAACAATTGATCAGATTTTCCTTCTCAGACAAACCTTAGAAAAGACATATGAATATGAAATTGATACCCACCACCTCTTCATAGATTTTAAAAGCGCTTATGACAGTGTAGACAGAAGCGCACTTTATAATGCCATGGCAGAACTAGTTATTCCGTCGCATCTAATAACATTGGTAAAGGCAACTCTTTCGAAAGTTGAGTGCAAAGTCAAGGTACAAAACAGAGTGTCAAGGTCTTTTCAAACACATAATGGATTACGCCAGGGAGACAATCTATCGTACCTATTGTTTAACATCGCGCTAGAAAGAGCCATAGAGAAATCGGGCATAACAATCAGAGGTACGATCATCAATAGAAGTGTACAGATATTAGCCTACGCAGATGGCATTTACATAGTAACACGGACAAAAAGAGACCTGATACAGGCTTTTGAAACATTAGAAAAAGCCGCGAAGACAATGGGACTGAAGGTCAACGTATCCAAAACAAAATACATGAAGGTCACGAAAAGCACACAAATATCGGCACCACAAGATCTGGTGATAGAACACACACACACATTCGAATGGGTCTTGGAGTTTATATATCTTGGAGCACAACAATATGGCGAAACGGGACCTGAAATTCTAAAATGTGAAGTAGAAATGGCACTTAAAAATTCCAAAATTGGGAAGGCAAATGGACCGGATGAGGTTCCTACCGAATTGCTAAAGCTCTTGAATGATGAATCAATAGGTATAATATTGCACTTATTTAATACAATATACAATACTGGTATTATACCTCAAGAGTGGCTGTTGTCTACATTCGTTACACTGCCAAAGAAATCTAATGCTAAAGAATGTTCAGAACATCGAACAATATCTTTAATGAGTCACCTACTAAAGATATTTCTAAAAATCATCCACAACCGAGTTTATCAAAAGTTGGAGTCAGATATTAGTAATACACAGATGGGTTTCAGAAAAGGGCTTGGTGCTCGAGAAGCTCTCTTCGGTTTGAAGGTTCTCACACAAAGATGCCTAGACGTTAATCAGGAGGTACATACGTGTTTTATCGATTTTGAAAAAGCGTTTGACAGAGTACGCCATGACAAGCTTAGAGAGATTCTTGAAAGGAAGGACATAGATAATAAAGATCTGCGAATAATTCTCAATCTATATTGGAATCAGAAAGCTAACATCAAAATAGAGACTGAAACATCACAAGCAATAGAAATACGTAGAGGAGTACGACAGGGTTGCATTTTGTCACCTCTGTTATTTAATGTATATAGTGAAAGCATCTGTCAGGAAGCCCTTTTACAAGCAAATGGAGGAATCGTAATTAATGGAGAGATTGTAAATAATATTCGATACGCGGACGACACTGTACTAGTTGCAAGAACAGTAGAAGAATTACAAAGATTACTTACAGAAATAAATATTCCTTGCAACAATTATGGTATAAATATCAATATTAAAAAAACCAAGTATATGGTCTTCAGTAAAAACATGACACAACCAGCGTATATTAGTATAAACGGCACTCAAGTTGAAAAAGTATCAAGTTACAAATACTTGGGAACTTTAATAAACGAAACTGGAGACCAAAACAGTGAAATAAAAAGACGTATCGAAATTGCCAGGGAGACCTTCATAAAGATGAGAAAATTCTGCAACAGAAATATAAGCATCCCTCTACGATTAAGAATGCTGAGAGGCTATGTATTTAACACGCTATTATACGGTGTAGAGGCCTGGACTCTCAAACAGAACAACGTTTCGAGATGTGGTGCTATGTGATGCTACCGCCGAATGCTGAAGATTAGTTGGGTTGAAAGAATAACAAACTGTGAAGTAATACGAAGAATAGAAAAAGACCCAGAGATTTTGTTAACGCTAAAGCGAAGAAAACTCGAATATTTTGGTCACCTGATGAGAGGACATAAATACGCATTACTTCAAAATATAATGCAGGGAAAAATAGAAGGAAAACGGAATCCAGGCCGTAGAAGAATGTCATGGTTGCGGAATTTAAGAGAGTGGTTTGGCTGCACCACTAATGAACTCTTTAGGTCAGCCGTAAACAAGGTCAGAATAGCCTTGATGATTTCCAATCTCCGATAGGAGTGGCACAAAAAGAAGAAGAAGGAGCATAACTAAAGAATAGCAACCTAGTAAGCATAGACATTAAGAGAAGAATATACTACACAGTTTACTTTGGACTAAAGCAGTTCTTAACATCACACATAATTAGCAGAAAAACCAAGGTACTAGTATATGAAACTCTTATTAAACCTGTCCTGACATACGCGTCAGAGACATGGACTATGGTAAAAAGTGACGAAGAACGCTTTGAAAGTCCGCTTTGAAAGAAGAATTGGCGCAGGTGCTACAATTTTGAGTTATATCAATGCTATGAAAAATGCAACATCGTCCGGACTATTAAAATTAATAGACTAAGATGGTTAGGACACCTTGAAAGAATGGACACTAGAGACCCCCAAAGCCAGATATTATATCAAGAGCCAGTGGGAACCAGGAAGAGAGGCAGGCCAAGATCTAGATTTAAAACTCAAGTCGAAGATGACTTGAGGAATTTAGGGGTCAGAAATTGGAAAGCCAGGGCGAACGATAGGGGAGAATGGAGACTAATTCTTGAACAGTCCAAGACCCACCCAGGGTTGTAGAGCCAAAGATGATGATGATGTGTGTTATTTTATAACCCATTTCTAATTATTCCATTTTTCTGTTTTTCTTCTTCAGTTTTTTCCTCACCTTGTATTAATGTTATTCCTTTTTTTCATTTATAATAATCTATAGATCTCATTTTTCGATGATATTTTTTTAGTCTAATCCGGATGACGAAGAAGACATTTTGTCCAAAAACTCCAGAGAGCTACAGATTAAAAGGCAAAACAGCACAGGGACGCATGTTATGATCGAAAAACACGCATTACCTACCTCAGTTCCAACAGACGCTGAACCAAGCAGTAGCGGTACGAACCAACTTAGCCGCAACTGGGAAACCTTTGAAGACGAAGAAGAAGCCAAAGAGAAAGCCAATTACGAAATGCTAAATCAGGATTGGGAAACCTTTGAAGAGGACGAAGAGAGTGAAGTGAAACCAAAGAAAGACTGGGTGAAATTTGAGGATGAACCAAAGAATACTAAGAACCTCAAATTAGAACTGTCTTTTGCTGAGACTGAAAAGAGAGAACCTACTAGTAGTTTAACTGGATTACCAAAGCCATTATTTTCAGATTTACCGTAAATAATAATAATACTTACTCTTACGATATTATAGAACATGATTTGCGCTCAGTGGAGCCTGTGGTGTTTATGCCGACGACCATCGAGAAACCAAGACGGTTTGCTGATAAACTGGAAGTTCTAAAGCAACTGACTTTTTATAAATCGCTTTTGACTGTTTTAACTACGAAATGTTCTATGTTCATATATTACACTTTATTTCCATTATATGTTTACCAAGAAGTGGAAAGTTTAACTTTAAGGGAAATGTCAGTAATGGTTGGACTTCTTTCGATTAGTGGTTTACTGTTCACTGGAGTCTCCCATTGGATCAATATCGACAAAAAGAGACGACCGATATGTTTCTGGGTACTATGTTGGGTTGGAGCCTTCGGATATTTTAGTAAGTAACAAAATATATTACTTCTGTAAATTAAAACATAATTTTCACCTGTTCTTAACACTTTCTAGTTTGTCACGTGATCAACAGTATTAATTTGACTTATTTTAAGTAAACATCGTATCTATAGCAAATGAATAAAGCGATAATTAGTTACGGTAATAATTAAAAAGCCATTGTGATAAGAGTTTGAAAATTTTTCCTTGCAAAATTAAAATCCTATTGTAATAAGGTACTTATAAAAGTTTTTATTCGCAAACCAGAGAACTACGAACGCAGAGAAGCGACACCGCCAATGAGTGAAAATGACAGGAAAGCAACCAGCTAACTAATAGTCAGTGGGCATATCACCCAATATAAATTCTTAAATAAAATTGAGCATTTATGTCGACTTTCAATAAATATAAAATATTATTGTGTTTATCGTATTATATTGAAATTTGGAAGGTACTGCGTCATGCACCAATGTTTTTCTTTTATTTTTTTTGACAATAAGATTATCTTCAAATGTAGTTCACAAATCCTATAACTATTATAAAGTATATCCGTTTTTAACAATAAATCTTCTCGTCTGCAAGCTTCTATCCACATTTTGGCACTACAAATTTTTAACAGAATAATTTTAAACAAACTTTTTGTATTTATTAATAATACTTCATTACTTACAACTATAAGAGTATTAGTATATTCTAAGTATATTGTAAGTAATGAAGTATTTAACTTTTGTCAATATCTCATCTTAATAAATTTACAGTTTTCTCCTGATTAAGTCACAAAATTGTCACTAAATATTGAAATATTCAACAAATAAAGTTTTAATATTTTTTATTTGTAATTCCCATTTAAATATTTATTCCCTAAATATGTTGTGTACTCCGATCCATATATTTGATCTTTGTTATTTGTATTTAACGAATTAAATATTGACAGATAACTTTTGTATATATCAAAAAGTAGATGAGTATTTAGTTTTTTCATAATTTAATGTAAGTTTGTTTATTTGCAACCATGTTTTTATTTTGAAGTCTTGTTCTGTTGTAATTTTAAGATTTTCCCAATTGTCGGTCTAATTATTTGTCCAACAATTTTTAGTTTGAGCATTTTAGGAATGTCTTTGTTTCGTTTGAATCAAATATTCTCGTGTATAAAAACCCTCTATATATTTTTTATTTCCTAAAAATACTATATTCGTATTGTTGTCTGCGAGCGCTTTCACACCAGTAGGCCAACATCTGTTGATTTTTTGACCTGAGCCTTCGGAGACAATAAATTTAATGTTTTTATTTTGAACTATCCCTTGGCAGATCAAAGTTTATTTTTTTATTGCTCCACTTAACGAGAGCTCGGACGGACACGTCGGCGTCGGCTTACTGATCGAAAGTCAAATTAATACTATTATGTAATAACTAATAATAATTACAAAGCAATAGTAATTACCTGTTATTATTCTTAGGAAATCTAAATAAACTTATTCCTTTTTCTGTCACAGATGAACATCCGCGAAACGCACAACAATAACCAGAAGACATTTTAAATATTTATAAATTAAACTTTTAACTATAAACTATAACTATAAACTTATATATTTAACTTATATATTTTAACTATAACTATAAACTTTTATTAACTACTAAGTAAATTAGATAAATGGTCAAATGCACTTGTATAATCTAGTATTTACCACAGGTGCCTACGGACTATCGTAAACAACCAGAGTTGAAGAAAACGCACGTGTTTTTGACAGTAAAGCAACCAGGTTCGGGCATGCGTATACAGAAACGGTACACGGATTTCGGGGCTCGTGTCGCTTCTCTGTGTTCGTAGTTCTCTGGTTACTGTTAAATCTTTAAATAGTCCGGGCGCTTTCGGAGCATAATCTGAGATGGTGTGCGGAAATATAGGAAAAGACAATATAATTGATGGATTCGACCGTTACTTTATGGAAATTCATTTTATGTACAGAACGTCGTCTGGTATGTTCGGTATGTTTCACAGGAACTAACAGGCAACTCGATCAATTTTTATCGTATATTATTTTACTTCATAGTCATATTGAATTTACAATAGAAACAGAATAAAATCAATCCATAAATTTTTTAGATTTAAAAATTATCAGACTTAAAAACAAACATGACTTCTCCATATTTCATAAACTACCCATACAGACACGACTATACACAATTCATCATCCCATCAACACAACATAAACTGGCAGCCTATCATAGTATGTTACATAGATTAACAGAAATTCCGATGTCAAAATACAACTTGAGACAGAATTAAATATCATTAAGCAAATAGCAGTAAACAACGGATACAACGAACAAACAATTAATAAAATGTTAAATCAAAAACTACACAAGAAAGCCCTGAAATTAGTATTTCCACCACCAGAGAAAAAACCCAGTACCTTCTGCTCGATTACATATACAGGCAAAATATCAACAAAAATAGCCAAACACATAAAAAAGAAAGAAAACACCAGCTTTCCGAATAAATAACAACCTAGGCAAATATATTAAAAACAACTAGAGCCAAAATAAAAAACACTTACACAGTGGTGTGTACAAACTTAAATGTGGTGACTGCCCAAAAACTTACATCGGACAAACTGGTAGAAACTTTAATAAACAAATAGCAGCACATAAAAGGGCTTTCAATAATAGAAAAACAGATTCTACATACGCACTTCACCTTCTAGATCACAATCGTTCTTTTAATGACGAATTTAAAATTCTTCACATTCAAAATAAAGGCCTTAAGCTATCCTTGTTAGAATCTATGGAAATCAACAAATTAAAAAACACAGATATAATTAAACAGAAAGCCAGGCTCTCATTACCTAGACTTATCCCGGTCAGGAAATTGAACCAAGAAAGAGGATGAGAACTCAAATTGGGGGCCATGCTGTCTCCAAATGTGACAATGGCCCAAACGCCCATTCATTCTCAACCAGTATTTAGAGCATTTGAGACGATAGGCTGCCACCATGGCTTCATACTCTACAATAAGTTGGAGGGGAGGTAAATCAAGGAGAGTATTAAGTCTAGTCGATAGCATAGCTACCTGTCTAGTCTAGGTGATCCGACATTGTTCGATAAATCAGGCGTTCGAGATTACCAAATAACGGCGTTTTGACTTCAGTAGGGGGCCTAGAACTTGTCGAATGAGTCAACAGTAGAGAGTCAGTCCAAGAAACAAACTTGTAGCGTCAAGTAATAAATATTATAAATTAATTGTGTTTTTAGTGTTAGTGTTAAAAGACTAAATAAAATAAAATAAAAATAAAAGTCAAAATGAAAAAATAACATCACAATAATATAAATTCTTCTGAGGAACTGTAATTTTCATTATATACAAGGTTTTTATTAATGATAAATTAATGTTTCTTCTTAATCTTTAACATCACAAATATGAAATTTTATTTAGATTGGCCCCCCCATTAAGAGTGTTGTTTTTAAAGTTTCTGTAATATTATCTACAACTTGTATAATCTTTTTATTTGCAGTGCTTGCCGATTCGAATTCCAAGCAGGTCTTAATATTCGGAGCGATTGGAGTGATCCTCAGCATAGCTTCATTACAGTATGTCGGAATGCCTATTTTAGGTTTGACATTAAGAGGAGAAACAAGTAAAGAATTCTCTGTCATTAGTACATTAAGCGGCTGTGCATTATTGTTATTTTTAGTATTTGGTAAGTATTTTAACTAGCATATCTTTTAAACTAAATAGCATATTAAAGGTCTTTTAATTTCATCATTACACTGCAAGTAGTCGCCTAATCAAAATGGTATCTGAAATCGATTTACACATCTACACATATAGAGAGACGCATTAGAAAATTTTAGTTTTTTTCAAATGTTTCTTTGGATAAAAGCATTTATTTGACGATATTATAGCTTCAATATCGGTACAAAATCACATACAGTCTGTAAACTGTCTGTCTTTTATAAAACTGTGAATACTTATTTATAAACATTTCAAATTTAATGAGTCTCTATGCTTCTTATTTATGTGTGCGTACGTTGCGTGTGGGCGTGGGTGCGTGCGTGCGCGGGTGTGGTCTGTGTGCGTGCGCGTGTGTGTTTGAGGATTATTGGCTTCGGAGTAAGTGTCCATTCGTCATTTTACCTTTATAGGATTATTTTGTATTTTTTTTTTATGTGGAAGCTCTAAAGGAGTGATCCTTGCTTACATTCTCGTTTGTTAGGTAGGTATACAATCTTATTCTTGTTCTTTTTTTACAAAGATATATAAGTTGTTTGTTTTTATTTTTATTATATATTCATCATATTTTGGACCGTGGATCTCGGTAGGATTAGGGTTTTAAATAAAGGAAAAGAAGCAAAATACATAAAATATTTCGCTATTTGCGTCCATTCGAAGCCATGTTGCTTCCTAAGACAGAAGAGATTTATTTTCACGTTCAGAGCGACTGTAAATTGCCGTTCTGACGAAGCCTATTAGGCCGAAATACATATAAGCGGATACACAGACTCACTATACATGAAATCCAATCTTAACTGTCTTTTCCATTTTACATAAAATATGCTTGTACAAAATTTCATAGATGTTATAATCTTTCGATCTTAGGTTATATCGTTAGGGGATTTTGAGTATTTTGATTAATCCTTCATTTAATAATTTGACTTCTGGACAACAGTGTGTAGATTTATTTTCTGTGTTTTTTGAGGAGAGACCAATTCCTTGCGTACAATCAATTCATATTATTGTTAAAAATTTTGAGTTGTTGTTGCCTCAAAAATTGCAGAAAATGTCACGCTCAAGAAGTGTCACCAGAAAAAGTTGAGGAAAAAGAATAACGGGATACACGTTCAAGTAGAAGCGTTGCTAGAGAATGAGATATTAGCGGTGTTACCGTAACGAAAGTATGGAAAAAACACGGTTATAAGAATTTTAAATATTCGAAAATGCAGCAGCTTTATTCAGACGACTACTTTCGAAGAATGACGTTTTGTAAAACTCTATTAACGAAGGCTAATGATGAACCCAATTTTATTAAAAACATTTTATTAACTGATGAATCTTCTGTTTCGTTAGTAGGGAGACTCAATTCTTCCATTACGAGGTATTGGGCGGGGAAAAACCAGCACAGAAGTGTTGTTTACCAAACTCAACGTCCTGAAAAAGTTAACGTCTGGACTGTCATTTTAGAAGACCACATAATGAGTCCATTTTTTACTGAGGGCAACTTAAAGAAGAGTTACAGAATTATGTGTTTTCCGCTATTCCCTCCAGATTTACATCAGAAATGATGTTAATCTGGAGAATGTTTGGTTTTATCAAGATGGCTGTTCAGTTCACAACGCTCGAATAATTAGGGAGTACTTAAACAATACTTTCCCGAATCGAGTTATTAGTGGATCAGGTGATATTAAGTGGCCTGCGCGATCTCCAGATCTTACATACATGGACTTTTTTTGGGAACATGTAAAAAGCATCATCTACGATCATTCTGAGGCTAGAGCCCAAAATTTGGATGAATTAAAAAATATTATTAATTCGAATAAAAAATGTCTCTAATTCTGTTACAGCAGAAACTCTTACATCTGTCCGCAGACAAAAGTTTTTATGGCAGATTTGGATACTGTTAAGCCGTAGAAGGTCAAATATTTGAATCAATTTTGTAGAGCATAAACAATTATTTCTTATTTTATTAGGAACTATTTTTTATTTTCAATGCCTAAGAGTATATTTTTTGTTTTATCTTTTTAAAGAAATGCGCTTTTATTTTTATTTTAATTCAACCAAAAAAAATTGTTCACATTGTTAGAAAGCGATACAAATGCACCGCATTATAATGGTCAGTGTATTTTTATCGAGTTTATGTTATAAGAAATGAACCGGGCATACGTAGGCAAAAAAAAAATCGACGGACGTATATGCATATCCCTTACGTTGTTATGTGTTCTAAACGGTTTTCGTTTTCTCTTTTTCTGTTTATGAGTCTAAGGCTGTCGGAGAGGATCATAGAATTAAAATTACCCCGTACGAGGCAATGTTGCCGATTTTAGTGCTTTATGTAGTTTGCAATATGTAATCCAAAACTTAACGTACTGTATCTGGTTCCTAGTATATTCTATAAAATTAGAAGTTATTGACACTGATCCATGGATTTTTGTTGAACAACAATTATGGGATATATATTTTCCCAAAATTTTTAAAATAATGTTTTAGAAAACGATTTCCATAGTGGAAATCGAAAAGTCAAATGCGGAATCCCATACAAACATAATATGTAAATAACTTCATATGTTTTGATAACATTGTGTCTCTTTATTTTCAGATATGACGTTCAAAACATGCTTCAAATTAATGGCTTTACTTCATTTCTTCACAGGAGCTGTCTGGTTTGCGAATTATATATATAAAAAAATTAGGATCTAGAATAAATTATCCAACTAATACGCTTTTGTAAATATAAGTTAATTATTATTAAATTAATATATAATGTTATACCTTTAATAACCACTATCCTTCAAATATACCCGTAGCCGAGGTAATAAGAAAATCGGGGAACGGGATATACAAAAAGAGGCAGAATGAGAGCAAAATAGATAGTGAGAGAGAAAGAGAGACAAAAAGTCATTACATGTAGTGTTTTACACGGTTTTTACGAAACTGTTTTATTGAGATAGGTATTGGAAAACGAAAATGCAAGCCTGATTTTTGATAATAATATATCAGTGTGTTGCAGAACGTGTTTACACACCCGAATGTTCAATGTTGATATGCTATACTTACGGTAAGCTTGTTGCCTTGTTTATCTCGTTATCATCCCTTACATTTGTGCTTATATCGGTCAGGCTTAATTCCGTTTAAAATGCTAATGTCTTTTTGTTTACAATTTTGTTTATGATCACTCATATCTTTAACATGTCCCAACTTTTACATTCATTAACACCTTTGATCTATTTATGCTGGTATATGTTTTCATGTGTCATATACGCTATTCTAACTAATGTAGGTAATGTACCATGCTCCCCTTTTCTAGTCGACAGCGTAATCAACATCTCTCTTTCGTCTTTCGTTTTTGATGTCACGATCTAGTATTAGCTATTACTGACTTATTTACCTTAATGTCTGATGGTAAATAAACTTCTCTTAGTGTACCACCAAACCTCTCCAGCCTGTTCTTTTCATTCAGTGCCTCGTACGTTAACATATTGGCGTTACCCAATAATTGATTTTTCTATATGGTTAGACTACTTGTACTTACTCGTTTCTGACGACACCTCATAAGTTACGTCATATTGGAACTCTTGAAGTAATCATTATACAACCTTCGCTTGTCCATTGCTGGACATAAATATCGCTCATAATTTTCCATTTGTCTCGACCTTGTGCCTCTTGCATCCAATTCCTATGGCAACGTTTTAGATCGTCAGTCCACTTTTTGGTGGACGACCTCTACTTCGATAGATCTCTTGGTCTCCATATCAGTATCCATTTTGTGCATCTGCTATCTGCCATTCGAGCTACGTGACTTTCCCAGTTCTTCAGTATGGCTATTCTCTCTACAGCATCAACCACTCCTGATATTCATCGTAACTACGCCTAACATAGCTCACTCCATCGCACTTTGAGTCACTCAACTCTTTTACACTTTTTTCCTTGTCATGGTCAACGTTTCTACTCCGTAAGTCAACACTGATTAAATATTTTTCTTTTAAGACAAATTGGTATGTCGGACGATTTGGTATGCCGAAGTAATACCCTTTTGTAACTCCACTCTCTGGCCTCCAACGCTATTTTTTACTTTTTCTGCCACTCCTCTCCAACGACACCTCATAAATAGTGATCCAACGAATGATTTGTGATTGAAAAGATACCAAAGTGGTCAGAATATTCCCATAAGAAATAACATGGAGAGCCGCCGGTGATAAACAAGTCATAATGCAAGCCAATATCACAACAGAGAAAAATCTTCCAGTTTCCAAAAGTATTTTGCAGCATTAAAAAGAAGTCCAAAAGTGGCTGCAAAATAGCCATTACAACAAATAAAGAGCCATATTGTGGTAAATTAATATGAAATAAATCAGTAGTAATGTTGACAGGAGGCTTTGTGTAATAGCATAGATCTTAGTATATGAAAGATGAAAACTGATTAAAAACCTTTAAAATGTAGGTAAGGTGAGTAAACTATGCTACAGAATATTCGAAACGAAGGAATAAATTACCGTACTAGTTATGTTTGAATGTGAAATGGTAAGTGCTGGTTTTTATTAAGAACACATAACTTCAAATCATGAATGTGTTGCTTGTGTGAGTCCATTTCAAATAGGTAAAGAAATAATAAATAAGACTTACTCACAATCAATTTAATTTAACTATCAGACGACCGGTTTCGCTTTAATCGCTAAAATCGGTTTCGCTAAAAATATGGGTTTTTATCATTTCAGCATTTGTTTAACTTTGTATCGAGACCTGAAGATGCTTTGCATATTGTAGAAAGCGAAACCGGTCGTCTGATAGTTAAATTAAATTGATTGTGAGTAAGTCTTATTTATTATTTATTTACCTAAACAAATAACTTCTTGATGGAATTTAAAGAAAGAAGAGGTTTTGCTAAAAATATCTCATAACCAAATGTTAGACAGAGGTAATATCTCACCAGGATAAAAGGGTTAAAAATTTATTATGCTTAGCTTGTATTTTATACAATTTATTTGGATGTACATAAAACCAATACGCCACTGGCACACTGGAAACTTGTAGCGTTGTAGCAAAGAATATAGAAGCGTCTATATTCTTTGCTTGTAGGTGTGTCCTTTCTAGTCAACACTTAGAGATAGTGCAAGCACTCCTGACCACGGCGCAGTAGACGAAATTTGTTTTAGTTCCCACTTCCATGCAAAACGCATTGTACTGTGCACTGTAATTCCACTTACAATAGAACCGTTTCTGTCTTTACGTGAATTTTGATTCCGCCTTCGCGCAGCTCCATGGTCAGGAGTGTTTGCTCGCTCGGTCTGTACGGTCTGCTCCTTAACGCCCACGGTCAGATTGGTCATCTCACATAGTCTGCAATAATTCTTTACATGCCTAACTAGACTAAAAAACAGCCCAGAAAAACTGTAATGTGATGTGAAATTCTTACTAATATACGAGTAGAAAAATATCTTAGTGGCTTATCACTAATTTTAAACTATGAAACACGTAGTTTTTTTTCTATTTAATCTATTTATTATTTAAATATGTACATATCTTAGAAATAATATATCGATACTATCATTCGGTATAACTAGCTCCGGAGATACTATAATGACTCAATAGGGAAGAGCTCCAAATTCCTTGAATTTAAACATCTGGAGGAAATACTATGGTGTTTGGTACTTTATTTCCACCCCCTATAATATAAAATAAACAGTTATTAATTTAAATTATTTTATAATTTATAATTCAATAGTAATTGAAAGGCTTGGGGGAAAATATAACAAGCCACATAAATCTAAAAAATTAGATTTCCTCTAAAAGATACCTGCAAATGTGCAACGAAACTGCTGATCAATTATTTCAGCTATAGAGATGGCGCCTCTATACGCGAATTTCTTTCTTAACAATTATCAAAACACAGTATAGACAACATACTGTGGTCAAAATTCAGAACTTTTTGGTTAGAAAAGGAACATGCCACAGGCGATTTTTAAGATGAATGACTATAAATTACGTCGAGCTAAAAGAAAAGGTGATTTTGAGAGTAGTAGTGGAAGTGAATTCTCTGATTTTGATTCAGATGACGATCTGAATTATAAAGATTACAGTGTTACTGAAAGTGACTGTTCAACAGAAGGAGTTACACATATATTGGTAAGTTTATTTCTATGCGGCTTATTCACTTTTTTAGCAAAAGATTTTGTTATTTTGAAGCTTAATATAAAATTTCATATTTTACCTATGTATCGAAATATGTATTGTTGCCTTTACGTACAATACGTCTACATAACGCAGTAATGTTGTGTAACTACGATGTGTACTGCGTTATATCTCCGGCTGCAGTATTTTGTTCATATGCCTAGCAGAATTTCTACGAAAAATGTGTGTGGCTTATTACCTTATTGCAAAAAATTATACATCTTTTTTTTTTCAGGACGAAAATGAGTACAATGATCTCTCGGATCAGAAACAAGATATTTCTAGAGGTTTTCTAAGTTTTCCAGAAATTCAACGCCCTCACGCTGGAGAAAAGTTCATTCTAAGAAAAGGGACGGGAGAAAAACAAGAAGAAATTTGAGCCATGACTACAAAACATACCAAGGGACTGAAATGGAACCTAAAGCTATTGGAGAATCATGTAAATGCAAACACAAATGTAGAGCAAGCCTGATGGGGAAAGAAGAAGAAATTTTTCATGCATTTTGCCAAAATGCCAAATATGCGATTCATACAATGTCTCGCTCGAATCTGTGATGTATTGTGTAATTGTGTTCCGAACATATTGTATTCTTTAGTTTGCTACGGAACACGCCTAGGGTTAGGTATCGTTGAGGGATAGATAAAATGTGATTGTGAAAAATGTCAGAAATAAAGGATTACATCCAAACATGTTTTTATTTAAAAAGTCTTAAATAAATCCACTATTCTCAAGTACGGACATATTAATTGGCGACGAGGATAAAAACGGGTCCACAAGAGGTCAAAAGTATAAGTATAAGAAGTCAATGAAAGCTAATAAAAGTCGAGAAGTCTGAAAGTAGGTACGTTGCTCCAGTAGAACAAAGAAAAAAAATGGCTTTAATTGGGAATATAGAAGCCATCCAAATAGACAAAACAGAGATTGAGACATATCTAGAAAGAATGGATCACCTTTTTCAAGTGTAATAAGGTGGAAGATGAAGAAAAAGTGGATCTTTTTGTAACCTTAATTGGAGGTGAGGCATATATAAAATGTTGAAAAACTTAACAAAGCCAGCAACAGTGTCGTCTAAGAGTTATGCAGAATTAAAGAAACTACTAAAAGATAGAATGGCACCAAAAAAGTCTGTCATATATGAAAGTTACAAGTTTTACAAATTAAACCAAGGTACCAGTACTATTGCTCAGTATATTGCAAATCTAAAAGAACAAGTATCTTTATGCGAAATTTGAAATGGTCAATGATTATCTTGACAGGGCGTTAAGAGATAAATTTGTCTGTGGAATATCTGAAAAAAGAATCCAAGATCGGCTTTTGTCAGAAAAAGATCTCACATTTGTTAAAGCTTGTAACATTGCACTTGCCCAAGAAATCATATACTGGAAAGCAAAGAAATCAGCACGAACCAGATAGTGTTCATAAAGTCTATGAAAAAGTTAACCCACAAAAATTAAAAACAAATACTAAATCTAGTCCAAGTATTGTTAGTCACCAAAGTAATAAAAATGGTCAAAGTAATGGAAGTCACCCAAATAATCCTTCAAGTCAGTCTAGAAGCAGGTATAGAAATTGTTGGAGATGTTCTAGATTTCACAATGCAGATATCTGTCCTGCTAAAGAATGGAAATGTTTTGTCTGTCAGAAGCAGGGTCACACATCTACAGTGTGTAGATATAGAAATGTAAACTTCACAAAAGAAGAAGAAGAAAACCAACAAGAAAATGTACTAGTAGGCTGCTCTATTGAGGGTTCTGCTGTTGCATCTAACTTAGTTTTTACTAGATCTATGAGAGAAGAAGTGCTAGAAGTTCTACATGATCAGCACCCTGGAATAGTTAGAATGAAAATGCTGGCTAGGAGTACAGTTTGGTGGCCTGGTATTGACACAGATATTGAGGAAAAGGTGGGTAGGTGTGAAGCTTGTCAATTAAGTGCAGGAGACTCAAGAGGTTGAATTACACCCTGGAGGCCGCTACTAGACACTGGCAAAGAGTACATATGGACTTTTACCAGATTAATCAGATATACTTTTTTATATTAATCGATTCATCATCAAGATGGCTGGAAATCTTTCCTATGACAAATGGCACAAATGCGAGTAAAATTTTGGAAAAACTGAGACAGGTTTTTGCTACGTTTGGTCTACCGGAGTCATTGGTGGCTGATAATGGGCCCCCCTTTTCAAGCAGAGAAGTTGAATTTTTTTGTGCTTCTAATGGTATCAAGCTGATTCATTCTCCACCATATCATCCCACATCAAACGGAAGTGCAGAGAGGGCAGTGGGAACTGTTAAGTCAGCGCTAAAGAAGTTGGTATTAGAGGAACGAAAATTGGGATTAAACTAAGTTTGGAGCATCGACTGTCAAATTTTCTTTTTAGTTACCGAAATACACCCACAACGACTACTCAAAAGTGCCCAAGTGAAGAATTACTCCGCCAACCACCTAGGACTAAATTAACACTGCTAAAACCAAAGATAGCAGCAGAAAGTAAAACTAGAGAACGAGTACAAAAAGGAGTAGAGAGGGAGACAGGAAGAAGACCTTTGAGATGTTATGTGGAAGGAGAAGATGTATTAGTTTACCTAAGTCACGAGAAACAGTGGACTACTGGAAGGATTGTGAGATCTCTTAGTAGGGTAACATATTTAGTTTGGGTAAATGGAAATATAAAATTCCTACATGCGATTCATTAAAACCATCTAAGTTGGGTGGCAAGGAAATGAGGTAAAGTTTAGGTTAGAAGAAGACACTGAATGGAATTCGGAAGCAGAGGTAGAGAAAATGAAAAGTGAAGTATTAGCTGGGGAAGTAAAAACTAAGTTAGATGCAACAGCAGAGCCCTCAATAGAGCAGCCTACTAGTACATTTTCAAATGTAGAACCAGAACCTGCAAGCTTGACTATGCCACAGAGCCTTGCTTGCGGAGATCTTCCAGGTCTATTAAACCTCCAGAAAGGTTAAATTATAAGTATAAGAAAAAGACATTAAGGGGAGAAAAGTGTGATGTATTGTGTAATTGTGTTCCGAACATATTGTATTCTTTAGTTTGCTACGGAACACGCTTAGAGGTTAGGTATCGTTGAGGGATAGATAAAATGTGATTGTGAAAAATGTCAGAAATAAAGGATTACATCCAAACATGTTTTTATTTAAAAAGTCTTAAATAAATCCACTATTCTCAAGTACGGACATATTAGAATCAAATAAAGAAAATGCTGAAGAATGTCAACAAATTAAGTTAAAGTTAGAGTTGCAACAAGAAGGCTGAGGAGATAAAAGGACTTCATAAAAGAGTCTGCACATGCCAAATTAACAGATGAAAGGAAGTAATTTCATTTGATTTACAACAGGCATTGCCAGTGCCGAATTTGACTGTGGGAAAAGCATTTTATTTGAGAAAGGCATGGATGTACAATTTGGGCATCCATAACTGCAACAGAGAGCAGGGATACATGTTACTTGGACCTAAAATGTGGCAAGAGGGGTAGTGATGAAATTGCCAGTGCACTACTGAAATATATCAAAATGTTCCTAACAAATACTGACAATAAAAGAGCTTATCACTTACACCGATAACTGTGGGAGTCTAAATAAACACTGGGCTCTGAGTCAGTATATATGCAACTAGTCAGAGAAAAACAGTTTTTGGTTATCGAACATCGTTTTCTTGTAAGTGGGCATACGCGCTTACGCTCAGATCGCGATTTCGCCCTAATTGAGAAGAAAAAGAAATTTACGACACAAATCATCCCAATCAATGGTGCGACGTTATAAGAAAAGCCAAAAAACCAATCCATTTGAAGTTATCAAGATGTAACAAAAAGATTTTATTTCCTTTGACGAGCTGCAAAGGCAAACTAACAAAAAACAGACGACAGACGAAAAAGAACCTTTATGTTTTTAGTTAAGTTAGATGTTTTAGATTAGAACACTATGCTTGTGAAACACTTTTTAAATGAAGAGTTTAAATCGGTCAATATTGGTAAGCGAGGAGTAAAAGATAGAAATCGAATAAAAAATCTAAGAGATTTTGAAAAAAAACTAAGAAATTGGTCGCATGGCGCCTGTAGTAGTGATCGTTCCCCCAAATTAATATGCTCCTTTTATAACTTACACATATCACATAGTAGTAGTATTACTCAAAAAATAATTTGTATCTTTGGAAACAAATTTGTGATTTAAAGTAAATGTAACATAAGAAGCCTATCTCAATTTTAAATATATAAGCACGGTCAAGAGGATATATTAAAAGATACTAACCTTGTGGCGGATTGCTGGTAACAGGTGTTTCGATCTTGATATTGGGTAATAAATTTGGCACTGGAATGGAGTAGATTGTTGAGGTTTCGGCATGGAATCTTGTTTTACATCAAAAAGATTTAGAAATCCACCTGTAATTACTGATTGCGGTTTTGATTCTTGTTTCTTTTCGAAGATGTTTGGTAAAAGATGGAAACCATTTTGATTAGGATCCTTCTTTTCGAATATATTCGGTATAAGATTGAAACCGTTTTGTTTTGGATCTTTTTGATCCTTTTTGTCAAAAATCTTTAATATATCAAACCCGTTATGTTCATGTGGAGGTAATAAACTGTGTACTCCAAGGCTGACATTTTTAATTTTCTCGTTGATCTCTTTAAATACTTTATCTGGCGACAAGTTAGCGAGTCCGGTTTGATTAAATATATTAATTCCTTGCCCGGTTAAGTTTTTCAACATATTTATATGTTCCACTATCTTCTCGGGTGACAAGTTAGCATTTTTCAAACCATTTACAAAGTTTTGCATGTTTTTAAAGGAGGTATCCAGCGCTTTTAGAAAGTCACAAGTAGTACTCTTTAACCTCTCAGCTATGTTGCACCAGAGCGCCATCTCACAGAACTTAAAATTGTTGGAGAGGGAGGGCGATGATGTGATCTTAATAAAATTGTTCTTTTTGGCGTCAAACGGTGATGCTGGCTTGTCGTTAACTTTGGGAACTCCATATCTTGCAAAATCTGCTATCATCTGCGTGAAGATCTCTCTAACTTTTATGTCATCTGCTGTGAGATTATCGTGTTCTAAAGGATTTCCCTCCACATCATAAGCATCAAAGAGATAAGCTAAGTCGTCTCCATGAGAAACCGTATCATTTAATTCTAAAATAAAAAGTGAGGCAATAATAATTTAGTACTATGAGCTAAAACTATAAAAAAAAGAGAGCTAGTAGCTTACCTACGAAGTGGGTGTCATTACCAACTAGTGGCGAACCTTTAAGGAATGTATGTCCTTTTTTATTTTTACCAAAGTGGTCGAAGCTGTACAGATAAGTAGGTGCTCCATGGATGCTCCATGTGTCCGCTGTCAAAAATGCTGGCACGTTGAATAAAGCATCATCTACAACAAAAAGTTTTTTTTTTATTTCACTAGATAATTTAACTGCAATAGGAAAATATATTAATTACATAATATTTGCACGAATAAATTACTATATACATATAAACAATCTCTTACTTGTTACATCAGCTACTTTATCCAAAGCCTCGACGAGTTTTCCAGTTTTCAGCTTCACATAGTTACTGAAATTGGGAGGAACTAGTTTACCAATAATGTTTTCGAGATTTTCTATACCCTTCTGGAAATTCTCCTCAAACTTCGCTTTAATTTCTTTTAGGTTAATTTGAAGTTTGAGAGGAATCAGTTTTCTCAAATTCTGAATCAAGTGGGTGTTTAAAAAGTTGGGTATAGTATTTAGCTTTTTTAAAACGTCATCTTTCAATGGACCAAAATAAATAGACAGAGAGATGTTACTAATTTATATTCCAGTTGACTCTGTTATTCCAGCGGATGAAGAAGATGGTCTATAAAGAATAATATGACAGTGATAGATGAAGATATACCCCGTAACGCTGATACTGAGATAGCGGTGAGAGGACGAGCCTCGAATGTCACAAGAACTACATCTTGCCTAATAATCTAAATTAGAAAAAACATGATAGAGTTCACGAGAAACAAGAAAGGGACAGAAGCCAGGACAGTCCGCAGAAGGCTTGCTAAGCAACAGTGGAGATACTTGTTTACAAGTCGACCTTCTTCCGAAGTCAGGTGGGTGAAAAATATCACAATGATTGCATAGTGAAGCAAGTAAAGCATCCTTTCAAGATCATGGTATGGTCTGTGATTAGTAGCAAGGGCATAGGGAGGCTGTACATTGCCAAGGCAATGATGAAGCGACATCAGTATATTAAAGTTCTGGAAAAGAAGCTTATGCCACAAATTAAAGCTTGGTTTGACGAATCGGAAGATTTTACCTTTATGCACAATTCAGCATCGTGCCATAAAGCCAAAACAGTAACATCTACCTGAAAAAAAAAAGGAAATTAAAGTACTGAAGTTGCCATGTAATTCTCCAGACCTCAAAACGATCGAAAATCCATGGGAGCTAATGAGAAGGAGGATTGCCAAACAAATTGTCACAAATAAACAGCAGTTAATTGAGAGACTCATTGCCACCAGACACAGAGACGATAAAATAAAAGAAGATTTGCCTGAAAAACATTCAACGCATGCCAAGAAGGTTCAACGCTGTCATCGAAAAGGAGATCACACTAAATATTTAAAAAAAAAAATATTATTTAAGGTCAAAGCAAAAATATTTCAAAATTTTGTAAAAGAATTTATTCCTGATCCATTTTTATGTTATACTCACATCATTAGATGTTTTATGTAGGTTTATTCTTTATTAAACAACAAAATACAAAATGCTTTGCACTGATCATAATAATTTTATCATCCACTGTAGGTATACAACTTCAGGTCGCAATCAGTTAGAAAATATAATTTTATATTTTGGTATTCGAATAAGTTTTTACACGTTTTTCGCGCCGCGTTAAGGATTTTTTAGGAAAATACTCGTCTGTGGTCAAAGAATATAAATGCATGCTGCAGGATAATTTGTGCCATTTAGATCTTGAACTAAGAAGAAATATAGTCCCACAAAACATTATGCATGAAAAAGACATGGAAACGGTTGGAAAGTTTACATATCTGGGAGTAGAAATATATGCCGACGCGACGGATCAGAAGGTGGAGAAATACGGAAGAGAAAAACGTAGGCAAACAGAGCTTATTATGCCCTCTCCTATATATTTCGGTCTAAAAATGTCCACCAAAATACAAAGATGAGAATCTATAAAATCTTAATTTGACCAATAGCATGCAATGGCAGTAAAGCATGGGTCCGACAGAAAGATACAAAAACAAACTCTACACATTCGAAAGGAAAGTACTGAGGAGAATACAAGGATCTGTGAGGGAAAACGGAATCTTTATCAACTTTATAAGGAAGCACCACTGTCAGACTTCATTAGAATACAAAGATTGTAATGGGCCGGGCATATGATGCACTACCAAAAAGAGCACTAAATGCTAGAATGCAGGGAAAGAGACCAGATGGAAAGTCAAAAAAGACCTGAAAAGACACAGACACAGTAAGCAGCGACGCGGAAGCCCTTTTATGAGTCCGTGTATGAAGAAGATCAGCCACAAACAAGCAAGGGTGGAGGCAAAAGATAAAGAAGGCCAATGCTCAATTTGAGCTGTAGTGCCGTAGAAGAAGAAGAAATCTTGAACGTTTAATAATGTAGTCGTAGTAAACTTGAAAACATTTTGTTACTTATTGTGTTGTGGTTACAGAAATTGAAGAAATTAAAGGTAAATATATATATTAAGATATTTCTATTTTGCCTTTGTGCGATTAAATAAAATTTATATAATATTTTCTGGAATAAAATATATAAGATGCAGAAAATAAAAAACAAATATTAGTTATGAAAAACGAGTAAGTACCTTTTACCGCTCTCTTTGTTTCATCCTTGCATATTCCAGTTAAGAGTGGTATACCCTTAGTTTTTCCTGATTGCATTTCATCCATAGCATCTTCCTGAACAATACCTGGTAAAGATCGGCCATCGTTCGCACCCTCAGTAACCGGTGCGCTACGAGCCCTCCTGACAAACCAGCCATAAAGCCTCTACTGTTGAGCTGTGTGAACTCTATTTGAGAATCTCCCTAAAAATATGTATCTGAATTGAATCTGACAAAAACAAAAACCATGTACAACGAGCTAGTGGATGTCCAAGATGTAACAATACTACACTTGAGACAGTAGACGAGTATGTATACCTGGAACAATTAATACATAAATCTGGCTCCTTATTTCCAGAAAACAACAGAACAATGGAACTAGCTTGGACATCTTTTGGTAGAAATGCAGTTATATTCAAATCGACGATGCCAATTCACCTGAAGAAAAAAGCATTCGATGAGTGTATACTACCAATTATGGCATATGGCTGCGAAACTTGGACACTAAAGAAAAAGATATTATCGAAACTCAAAGTCACTCAAAGGTCAATGGAGCGATACATGCTAGGTATAACAAAGAGAGATGGAAAAAGAATAGAATGGATCAGACAGAAAACCAAGGTTACTGATGTAATTCATAGAATTAAATTTTTAAAAGGGCAGTGAGCGGGATATTTATCGAGAATAACTGACAATAGGTGGTCCACTAGAACTACACTGTGGTATCCAGGAGGCGTCAAAAGGCCAAGAAGACGTCCACATTTAAGACGGGACTATGACATAGGGAAACAAACCGGTACAACATGGCACAGAATAGTGAATTATAGACATCGTGGGCAGAAATCAAGAATGAACATGTAAGGGAGGATGCACCATAATCGGTAGAATATGCTGAGAATGATAATGATGATGATGATGATGATATATATATATATATATATATATATATATATATATATATATTTATATATATATATAAGAAAGGTTAATCCGAGTTAATAGCAAATAAAGGTAGAAAGTATCGGCATAGTTTGCAGCAAGCGAAAAAGTAATAAAATATGTACCGGGTGGTCCAAAAAGCCGATCTCTCGGCTATATATCAGAAACTATTCATGTTATAACTTTAGGAAAAAAAATTCCTTAGTAAAAGTGGCCACGAGAAATCGCTGGAAATAACTTTCAAGATTCTGGATTAACCGCTAGGGGGCGTAACCTGCGAAGAAAATTTTGAAAACCAGTTTTTTGGGAAATATGTCCAATTATACCAAGTGTTAAATAAGTAAACTAGAAAGGGGCATAAATTCTGCATAAAGTTGTTCAAGTACTTTTTTTTTATTTTTTCAAATAAAGGGTGGGGGAGAGTGGGAAAGTATTTGTGGATAAATACCTATAACTTTGGTTTGATCCAACCGATTTTAATGAAATTAGTGTCATTAGAAAGAGTGTGGATGAATTAATTCACATATACTATAAAATACTTACATTCAGTTTTCATAGTCGTAGGTAGAGGGGACTTTCAATAAAAAAAATTAAATTAAGTTTTTCTTCAAAATTTTTAATGGAAACACCTATTTATTGTAAATTATAATGGAACTGGAACTGGAATAAATTCGTAACAAAATGGAGTAAACCGCATGTTAATAGCTTTTGTTGAACTCGAGATATGAATAAAAACTCATAAACATAAGTAAGTATAGTATTGACACACCCTGTATTATAAATTACATTAAAAAAATTATTCAGTACACAGTAAACAATCTTAATGTTGATACCTATTTTGTAAAAAATAGTTTTTTCGAAACTAAGTAGCTACGACAATGAATTTGACGGGGAGTTCATATTGTTTATTTATTGACAGCAGTCAAAACGTTGTTAAGAAGTGCTATATTATAATTCAAATTAAAGATTGCACTTTTTTCAATAGATATTAATATTGGTAATATTAGTAATTAATTATCAGTACAAATAATTCGTGATGAGTCTATCAAATTGTATGATATGATTGGAGTTTATTTCGAATGTCACCAAAATGCCGCTATTGCCTCACGTATATATTTTGTAAGATATCGTGTCAGGAGACATTATGGCAAAGAAGTATTTGAAAGAAAGGCAAAAAGATTAAGAGAAACTGGTAGTTTTTTCTCGTCCTTGTTTTAAACGACGTAGTAGAGTTATGACCGAATATAATTCAATCAATGTTCTTGCTTTAATTCAACAGAATCCTCATATGAGTAGTCCGAAATCTCTACTTCTTTGCCACAATATCTCCTGCCAGGATATCTTACAGAATATATACGTGAGGCAATAGCGGCATTTTGGTGACATTCGAAATAAACTCCAATCATATCATACAATTTGATATACTCATCACGAATTATTTGTACTGATAATTAATTACTAATATTACCAATATTAATATCTATTGAAAAAAGTGCAATCTTTAATTTGAATTATAATATAGCACTTCTTAACAACGTTTTGACTGCTGTCAATAAATAAACAATATGAACTCCCCTTCAAATTCATTGTCGTAGCCTACTTAGTTTCGAAAAAACTATTTTTTACAAAATAGGTATCAACATTAAGATTCTTCTGCTATAAAACAATTTGAAAATAACTACTGAATAATTTTTTAATGTAATTTATAATACAGGGTGTGTCAATACTATACTTACTTATGTTTATGAGTTTTTATTCATATCTCGAGTTCAACAAAAGCTATTAACATGCGGTATTGCTCCATTTTGTTACGAATTTATTCCAGTTCCAGTTCCATTATAATTTACAATATATAGGTGTTCCATTAAAAATTTTGAAGAAAAACTTAATTTAATTTTTTTTATTTGAAAGTCCCCTCTATCTACGACTATGAAAACTGAATGTAAGTATTTTATAGTATATGTGAATTAATTCATCCACACTCTTTCTAATGACACTAATTCATTCAAAATCGGTTGGATCAAACCAAAGTTATAGGTATTTATCCACAAATACTTTCCCACTCTCCGCCACCCTTTATTTGAAAAAATAAAAAAAGTACTTGAACAACTTTATGCAGAATTTATGCCCCTTTCTAGTTTACTTATTTAACACTTGGTATAATTGGACATATTTCCCAAAAACTGGTTTTCAAAATTTTCTTCGCAGGTTACGCCCCCTAGCGGTTAATCCAGAATCTTGAAAGTTATTTCCAGCGATTTCTCGTGGCCACTTTTACTAAGGAATTTTTTTTCCTAAAGTTATAACATGAATAGTTTCTGATATATAGTCGAGAGATCGGCTTATTGGACCACCCGGTATATAAGATGGAAGACAACCGTAAATACGTATTTTTAACTATTTGGTCGTCATCATAATACGGTGCAGCCAAGTTAGAATAGGAGAATGTTAGCTTGAAAAAGCGTCGTATTGTTTCTGTAATCATCTCAGTTTTTCAGTTCTTTCCCTTCGTCCAGTACTGTCCTTTTCCAAGTTGTTTTTTTTGGTCTGTCTATATTCCGTCGGCAAACCACATTAAACAAAAATAACATTACAAAAATATTCTGAATATACCTTCAAATAACTTACCCGAATAATAGATTCTGGTGGTAAAGTCTGCAGACACTTGACCATCGTCAAAGGATCAGCAATGGGACATCCATTTTGCTTAGCTATATTATAAGCTGTATGTTGAGGAGTATTGTCTACGGCCCAGCTGGAAACTGCTGTTCCAGACATTGCTATTACACCAGCTGGTATACCTAAAATTGAATTTCATAGTCAAATTTAAAATAAAATCAATTATTCCCAATTCAAAATCCTAAATTATGCCGATAACATTAGGTTCTTAGGGATGATTTTTGACACGAAACGTAGATGGAAAAAACACATTCTACAAATAAAAAAAGCATGCTAAAATGGAATTAATCTTATGAAACTCTCTCTAATAAAAACTATGGAGCTGACTATAACTGCTTAATACATGTTTATAAAACCCTAATAATTAGATCTAAAATAGATTACGGTTCCATAGTATATGCATCTGCTAAAGAATAATTATTACACCACCTTGACGTAATTCAAAATACGGCATTAAGAATAGCTACAGGAGCATTTCGGATCAGCCCAATAGAAAGTTAATGAACAGAAACTGGAGAGCCATCACTTGAATATAGAAGGACTTATCTCTCACATACGCATTTGCTGCTAATTCTAATGCAAACAATCCATCTAGACATAGCATATTTACTGATCGTTTTAAAAACCTATATACTGAAAATGGGAACATGAAACCGCCATTATACGAAAGAGTTAAACAAACCTATAGAACTTTACAAACTCCGATACCAAATACCTATTTCAACTTCATAGAAATTCCTCCCCCTTGGACATTAAGCATTCCTCAATCCGATACATCCTTAAATATCTTCAGAAAGAATGATACTCCACACTCCTTAATAAAAAATACTTTCATCAGCAAACTAACAAAATTTTCTAAATCCTATCATATATACACAGACGCTTTTAAAACATGTACTGGAGTTGGGGCAGCTGTCATTACTCAAAATATTATACTTGAGTATAAACTACAATCCTTAAGCCGTATACATACTGGCGAGCTATACACCATCTATCAAGCTCTAGTTCATATTAACTCCAGTAATATATCCAATGCTCTTATAATTACCGATTCCCTCAGTTCCATTTAACCCACTGTACACGAAGCTTCCAATTGCTCTCATAATAAAAGGAGATGAAGAAGAGGACCGTAGAGCCCAACAAGCCAGGAACAGTGAAACCGCGAGTGGAGTGAGAGATGTAGTTCTTAACGATTTAAAATCATGTATTAAAGTGAAAGTCGAAAATCTTTGGCAAAACCAGTGAGACAGTTCAACTTCAAAACTTCGCGAAGTGAAAACGTTTGTAAAACCGTGGAAATCGCAAATTCCGAACAGAACTCACCAAGTCATTGTTACTCGTCTTCGTCTAGGACATACCCGACTTACCCACGGACATATAATTGGTCACACTAATCCCACTTTATGTGAAAACTGTAATATCCCACTAAGTGTTAAGCATGTACTTGTAGAGTGCCCAAGATACCAGTTGCAGAGACAGACCAACCACATCATCGGATCAACAAGTGGAATCTTAGGAGAAAACTGTAAAATTGAACATTTGGTAAAATTTCTTAAAGATACCAATGTATTTAACAAAATCTAACATTTGTAAATAAATTATCTTATGTATATGTATATAATATGTCGCTAATAACCTCAGAGGTTGATGCGACTATTTTGTAAAATAAAAAAAAATATTCCCAATATTTTTAACAGTTTAGATACGCATTTAATCAATTCCTTTCTTACAGCTGCATTTTTTCTTCTTCCTTCTACACTTCTAATATATAGAGCTATAATTTTTATTTCTTTGCATAATGTCGAAATTCGGCTGAATATTATTGTGAATTATCATTTTAGACATCTTCATTTTCTTCTGAATAAAGTATATTACATGAAAAGTTTATGTAACCAGGTTTTATACGAAAACGAACTTTTAATTTTATCTTAACTAGGGCGTATGGTGATAATAGTAAACTATTTTTTCACTCGCTTAAGCACAGATGTTACTAAATAACAATCAATTATGTACCATTAGCAGAATTAATATCCAAATTTTCAAATATTTGCCGCAAATATACCTTTCTTACGACTTTTTGTCTTTAACCTAGGACTTACCTTACTTTATCGTGTCCGGACATGTCATTCATAAAATTTCGGCCAGTATCGGGCTACGTCGGTTCCATCTTTGTTGGCGAGCCACAAATCTTCAAGGGTACATCGATGAGGACAGTTTCTGCATGTAAGAAGATGTTCCATATTCTGTGTTTCTCCACAGTCACAGTTCACATCATCTTGGTTTATTTTTCCCCATTTTGCCATGTTTGATTTACTGTAGCAACCCCCGTTCTTATCCTATTCAAGGTTTTCCACGTTTTATAGTCTAGGGTCTGGCCGGTCCATTGAACCTGGGAAGTGGAAAATACTCAGGCGGTTCATCCTTCACTGTTCCAAGGAAACTTTTCCTAGATTTTAGTCGCTTTCGTGGTGTTCGAGCTTTGTACAGGGCATGCCGATCGTCCGCGATCTGTTTAATTTTCTCTATGTGTTCTGCAGCGCCTCTGCGTGTTGAGGGTTCTGCAAAACCCGCTGCTCTATATAGATTTGAAAGTGGCGTTGGTTTCATGCACCCCGTTACTATCCTGCATGTCTCATTTAGCGCAGTATCAACTTGTTTGGTGTGGGCAGATCTGCTCCAAACGGGGCATGCATATTCAGCAGTTGAGAAACACAGTGCCTGTGCCGTTGTTCTTAAAACGCCAGGACGTGCGCCCATTTACTTCCCGTTAGCTTTCTGAGTATGCTGTTCCTAGTTGTTACTTTCCCTCTTGTTTTTATGCAATGTTGTCTGTAGGTGAGGGACCGGTCCAGAGTTACTCCAAGATATATAGGTTGGTTTGTGTGTTCTAATGTATTACCATTCCACACAATTTGGAGTTTTCGCTTGGCTTCCTTTGTGCGAAGGTGGAAAGCGCAGACTTGGGTTTTAGAGGGATTGGGTCTCAGAGAATTCTGCAGGTAGTACGCTGTCATTGTTTTTAAGGCAGTTTCGAGTTTCTCCTCCACTTCTTCAAAACTATTTCCTTGAGCACATATTGCAAGATCGTCAGCATAGAGGAAGTGCTTGGTTTCGGTCGGAGTAGGTTGGTCGTTTGTGTATATATTGAAGAGCATTGGTGCTAAAACACTTCCCTGTGGGAGGCCGTTTTTTTGAACTCTCCACCTACTTACTTTACCCTCCAGCATAACGAAAAAACGTCTATTTTGCAGTAAGGAATATACGACCTTTCCCAGATGGTGGTCATTGAGAGTATCGTATAATTTGCGGAGCAATGTTTTGTGCCTTACTGTGTCATAGGCTGCTGTCAGATCTACAAAAGCAGCCCCTGTTATAAGTTTTTCTTCAAAGCCCTCTTCAATGTGTGCTGTTAATGCGAGGACTTGACCGGTGCAAGATTTGCCAGGTCTGAATCCTCCTTGTTGTGGGATGAGGTGCTTGTCGACATTTTTTTCTATTCTGGCGAGTATGAGTCTCTCGTATAGTTTAAAAAAGTGACACAATAGCGAAATAGGTCTGTAGCTACTGGGGTCTTCTGGATCCTTTCCTGGTTTTAACAAGGCTATTACTTTAGATTTCCTCCATGATTTTGGAATTTTGCAGGTTTTGCAGCACGTGTTATAAAATTGCAAGATCCAGTTTTTTGCTCCTTGGCCTAAATGCTTTATTTGTTCACTGCATATATCATCCACACCTGCAGCTTTCCCGTTTTTTAACCTGTTCAGACCGTCGTGGAGTTCTTTTAGTGTAAAAGGAGTTCCTAGGTGGTTTGTCTCCGAATCCAATCTTCTCCTAGTGTTTGGGTCCTTATATCGGTTAGTAGTTCTTCCATTCGTAAGGAGTTGAGTAGCGACTTGGTTTGCTGTAACCTTGCAAGGTGGTTTATGTTCTTTTGGATCACCGCTGAGTTTTTTTACAAGGTTCCATGCTATTTTGCTACTATGTGTCATGTCCATTTTTTCCAGGGTCTTAATCCACTTTTCCTGTCTGGCTTGACTTAGCTGTTGGAGTAGTACTGCTCCGCAGTCAACCGTTTCTTGGCTAAAAGGGTCAGTGGAATAGAGGGTTTCGTATGTTCTCATTAGTTCTTTGGACTCGCTGGACATCCCGGGAACGTATTGTTGTCTACATCCTCTAGGGATAGTTTTTCTAGACACATTTTTGAGTACCTCTACGAATTTTTCGTAGTTCTCTACTTTTGGTTCAAGGCGTAGTAGTTCAAAATCTAGCATGTCTGCATACTTTTGCCAGTTTGCCTTTTTGAAGTTAAATCTCCTTCTGAATGGAATAGCTTGTGGTCTGACAATTGGAAAGATATTTATACCAATTGGTCTATGCTGAGTTTTTGGTATGGGGCCATATACTACTTTGGTACATCGGTCTTCGAGGTTGTTGCTTGAAAAACAGATATCCGGGTTATATCCTCTTTTCCAAACTTTGCTATGAAAAGATGGTGGAAGTTTAGGATCATGGATTAACGTGAGGCCACTCGTTTCGGCCCATGCTTCTACTGCGTCTCCATTTGCGTCCGAATCTGCATAGCCCCAGAGTAAACTGTGACTGTTAAAGTCTCCCAGTACAAGCTGATTGGCTTGTGATTGAAAATTAGTTGGGGGTGAAAATATAAAAGGCTGGTTTGGGGGCTTGTATACCGAGGTTATTGTGCATTTTCCGATCTCAGTGGTTATTATCTCTATACCGTGTACATTTGTTGTTTCCACAGATGAGACTATGGTTTGAGTTCTCACAAATACCGCGCTCCCATGCTTATTGTGTGGTATCTCCGCAATCAGTTTCATACCAGAGACTTTCGGTCTCGCTGCAGTTAGGTCTCTGTGGGTTTCCTGGATGCACAATACCTCACATTTCGTGTTCATGCAGAATTCTGATAAGATGTCTTGTTTGGCTGTAGTGATGCCCTCGATATTTATGCTCGCTACTGTCAGTGTTGGCTCTGAGAAGAACCGTTGTGGCTTGATCTTTGCCATCGGATTTGGTTTGGTCCGGTGTTGGAAGGATTAGCCGTCTACTAGTAGACGTTTCCAGGGGACGCCGTCAATAGTGTTTCTTTTGCACTTGATGTGGCACTATTGATCTCGTGGAGGCTCCTTCCTTGTCCCCCAGGACAACCTAGATAACCCCAGATAACCTAGGAGACAACCTAAGAGACTTATACACCTCTTATTACGACATTCGGGTGTTACAATTCATTGAAGCGAGGTGCATTAATTCGTGTAAAACAGAAATCACTCCTCAGCGCTATAAAGATTTAGACCATCCCTTATATAGTACTCTGATCCGCGATAGGGGCACTTTTATCAGCCAAATGCTGTTCGCGTCTGAAGTACAAGAATTTCAACACGATATCCTAACCGATCAATGCAGGCTAGCATTGACAGGCTAACTTTACTTTTTTCCTGCTTTCTCTAGTGACTTTTCAGCTAATCTGAATTGCTTGCTCGGGCATCAAGTCTCCACTCCGCGCTTAATCTGTGTTTTCAAAATTTGAACATATTTATACGTGGTACTCGTTACTGCCAAATCGTCAAATACCATTATTTATCAGTACCCATAAAAATCAGTTTACTACGATGTTATATCTTTCCTATACTGTTGTACGAAGTTGAGTCGTGAACTCTCATAGACCTACCTGTATAAAATTGGGGCTTCGAAATTTGGCTTTATCGTCGAATCCTGAAGAAATCCTGTACCGACCACGTTACTAACCAGAACGTTTTATTAAGAATGCAAAGAGAAAAAGAGTTGTTAACCATAATAAAAACAGCCAAAATCGAATACCTTGGTCACATCATGAAGAACAACAAAAGATATGGGTTGCTGCAATTAATTCTACAAGGAAAAGTAGAAGGAAAACGAAGAAGAGGACGGCAAAGGATTTACTGACTAAAAAATCTACGTACGTTGTTTAACACAACAACCACAAATCTTTTCAGAGCAGCAATTGGCAAAATACAAATTGCCATGATGGTTGCCAACATCCGAAACGGATAGACAAGAAGAAGAAGACTCGTTACTGGATACAGCTCATCTCTAGGATGGGGGATAGATGATGTATGAGCGGCGCTTGGAGTGATTAGTTGTTTGTTTGACAAATCATTTCGCGACTTATATGAAAATGATTTTTAGTGACGATTCGGAGGATAGTTGTCAGTGAGACGAATCTGGAAGTTGTAATAGCGAGGATGAAAGTAAACTGTTATTAAATGACTCTGAGTTGGATGTAAACAATAGCAGTGAAACTGACTTACTTCGCGACACGAGACTGTGTGTTCTAATAAATGTGGACCAACCAGGACCGGTTCTACCGAGATTTTACTTTTAGTGGGAATCCGAAGTGTAATTTTTATGTACAGGGTAGGATAGGTGAGAACAAAAGACCACACTTTATGAATATACAATATTTGTCATGCTTTTAAATGCAGTATGCATATTAAATTTGTTGGGACATTCTTCTTCAAGTGCCATCTCCGCGGCGAAGGTCGGCAATCATCATAGCTATTCGGACTTTTGAGACGGCTACTCAGGGAATATAAACCGTCAACTAAATAGCTGTAAGAAAAGAAAACTATAGGAGAAAGAACAATATTTAACAAAATGGATTCTTGCTTCATTAAGTAGTGCGTAAGATACATACGATAGGGTTTATTATAGGGTTTATTATATTACTATCCAAAGAGATTTTAAAACCCTAAAAAAATTACAATGACGGGAATCTCCATATTCTGCAAGAAGTGGAAAAGTAAATATGTTAATAAAAAAATGGATTTTTTCTGACAGCTTTTTGAAAAATAAATGATACGTTAAGGGGTTAAATACATTTTTGTTTTTAAAATATTAAAATATAAATGAAACCTTACCTTTTGCAATGTTCGATAAAGCGATCATCAACACACTGCTTGCTCCAGTACCATGGCCCATGACGTTAATTCGGTAGGGGTTACCTCCAAAAAAGCCTATATAATTTCTGATCCATTGAACAGCTAGTGCCATGTCCCATAGTGCAACATTCCCTGGCAAATGTTTGGTACCGGAACTTATAAAGCCCAATGAGCCTAAACGGTATTGAATGGTGACGACTACTAATCGTTTCCCTACCAGATGTCTCACCTAAAAAGAAACGGTTATGGTACTCTTTACTGAATAACTGAGTTAATCACAGCATTTAGTTTAATGACTAAGACTGGCTAAACAGACACATTTTCACTGAGATGAAGTCAAGAATTTATAAAGCCAGTGTAAGATTAATAATGGCATATGCCAGAGAAATAAGACCCTACACAACAACAACACAAAGGCTGCTGGAAACGGCAGAGATGAGAGTACTGAGAAGAATTACAGGAAATACGCTAAGAGATCGAACGAGAAGTAAAGACATTACAAGAAAATGTAATGTACATTATATAAACGAATATACACTACATAGAAAAAAAGAATGGAATAACCACATAAGCAGAATGGAGGAGACCCGTGTCATCAAAATAGCAAGAGCTAAGTCACCGATCAGCAGAAGAAGTATCGGACGAGTTTCCATAGAGGTGTTAATCCGCCAATGAACAAGCAGAATTGCTTATAAAGAGGAAGAAGAAGAAGACTGGCTGCCATCTATTAAGCATAAACATGGAAAACTTAAAGATTGCTAAAGGCCTTCTTCCCGTGGGGCTTCCTCCCATATTAACTTGGCAAGCCGGTTATTAGGGAGTCTATGGACATGACCAGCTCATCTTAGACATTGGGATTTGATCTTTGAAAATAGCTGAGGTTTATTAAAATTTTTGCGACAAAATATAAACTAAAATCTCCAGTAAGCATTGACAAAAAAGAGACCAGAGATACTATATATCCAAGTTATATATTATTATCCAATATATTTAGTTCTTCACAATATTCGACAAAATATTCAATACGAACAGCGATACATAAGCTGAGATTCAATTCGAAAGATACTCAAAAAATTAAAAGCACAACAAATTGAAGGAGAAACAATTATTCAATATTACATAAACTATAAGTTTATCCATCCATCCAATGGCACTACAGCCCAAGCCGGGCCTTGGCCTCCTTCATTAAACCTCTCCAAACATCTCTATTTAATGCTGTTCTTTTCCATGAACGCGTTTTTAGGAGATTTTTGGCATCTTCATCTACCTCGTCTTCCCATCTCTTTTTTGGTCTTCCAACAGGTCTTTTTCCTTGCATTCTTGCGTTTAGTAATTTTCTGGGGATTCTGTTCTCATGCATGCGGGCCACATGCCCTGCCCATCGTAATCTCTGTAGTCTAGTGTATTGTGCTAGTGTTGGTTCAGTGTATTGTTCGTATATTTCGTTATTATATCTAATTCGCCAGTTGTTATTTTCCTTTAGTGGACCCAGTATTCTACGCAATATTTTTCTTTCGAACACGTCTAATGCATTGGTAGATTTCTGTGTTATAACCCATGTTTCACACCCATAACTTACTATGGGTCGGATTATTGTTTTATATACCCGGAGTTTTGTTTTCCGGTGTACGTCTCGCGATTTGAATATGTGGCCCATTGCGAAATAGGCTTTGTTTGCCAGCATAAGCCTTCTATTTATTTCCGGTTCTTCTTCATTATTTTCGACCAGATCCATTCCTAAATACGTGAATCTATTCACGTATTCTATATCGTCTATAAATTGTTGTTGTTGTGCCTGTCTATTTGATCTGGTTTGTATGAGTAGTTTTGTTTTATTTGTATTTATTGTTAGCCCTACAACTTCTGAACTCTGTTTCAACTGAACGTAGGTTTCTTCTGCCGCAGTCTTTGTTCTGCTCATTATGTTTATGTCATCTGCGTATGCTGCTAATTGGGTAGATTTGTTTGTAAGTATGTTATTTCTGCTCACCGTCAACCGTCTAATTACATATTCAAGAACAAGATTGAAAAGTGTTGGAGCCAGTCCGTCACCTTGTTTCAGTCCTTGCGTTGTCATAAACGCATCAGTGATCTGTCCTTGAATACATACATGTGCTTCTGTTTCTGTCATTGTCATTTGCACTAGTCTTATTAATTTTGATGGTATGCCAAATTCTTGTAATATATTAGGTAGTATTGTTCTATCTATTGAATCATAGGCTTGCTTGAAATCTACAAAGAGATTGTAGACGTCTATGTCATATTCCCATGCTTTGGCTAGTATTTGTTTAACTGTAAATAGTTGGTCAATAGTAGATCTATTTTGTCTGAACCCTGCTTGATATTCCCGATAATTTTTTCAGTGAGGGGTTGAAGTCTTCGATTAAGAATGTTTGTGAGTATTTTGTATCCCGAACAAAGTAAAGAGATGCCTCTATAATTCTGGCATAACAGTTTGTCTCCTTTTTTATGAATAGGGCAGATTATACTTTTCTTCCATTGTTGTGGGATTTTTTCTTCTCTCCATATTCCAAACTATAAGTTTATAGTCTAAAATAAAATAGAATTGCGATTCATTTTTTAAAAATTGGGTTGAAAAATAATAATTTAAAATAGAGTTATACATCATAATTCTTACCCCGTATTGAGAGGCTGAGCCATATCTAAAACCACCACCATGGATCCACACAACTACCGGTAGTCCTGTAAATAAAAATATAAACCATTAGAAAATAAAAAAAAACAAAAACAAATCTTAATTTATGGTAAATTTCTTAGTAATATGCTGCATTTTAAACCAATATCATAGTAGATGTAACTTTGAACTACTAAAGGAAATGCGTTAATGCTTTGTCAATCATTAAATCAATGACAAAATCCTGAAAAAAGTCCCTTTTGGTTTTTATAATGCTGCGTTTGGAAAATGTTCAGAAAAGTGAGCTTAATGGCTCACTCTACCTATTGCATTGTAGCGTAATAATTAAAAATGATGTAATATAATTTAAAACATAATTGTTGTGCGGCTTCTGTGCTACTCGTTGAGTTTTGTCTCTATCTGGTTAGTATTATTATTTAAAAACCTTAATTTACTTACCCTCTGTTCCTGTTGGCAGTTCAGGAGTAAAGACATTAAGAGCTAAACAGTCTTCACTGCCAATAACTTGATCTGTTCCAGGCCGTGGCTGTATACAAGGAGGCGCATAATATGTAGCGTTAATTAAACCATCTAACAATTTTTCCCTCGGCCTCTAAAATATCATGTAGATGAATATGTTTGCATCAAAATATTATTTATATTTTAGATATCAAACAAACTTTTTAGTTAAATATTGTATTTATATGGCATTAAGCCACAATTAATATAATGAAAATTAAATTTTTTTGACCAGCTAAAATAGAACTATTTAATGATATTTATTATACAGTAGAGATTCTGAAAGAATGGTTAATATCAATATTCATTCCAATACCCAAAAAATCAAACGCAATGAAGTGTGAAGAGCACAGGACAATTAGCTTGATAAACCATATTCTAAAAGTGTTCTTACGAGTGATACACGAACGTATCTATAAAAAGCTAGATGATAGAATAGCTGAAAACCAATTGGGATTCAGAAAAGGCTTTGGTACCAGAGACGCATTATTTACCGTACAAACACTAATCGAATGATGTCGAGATGTCAATTGCGACGTATTGATATGTCTAGTCGACTTCGAAAAAGCTTTCGACAAAGTACAGCACCAAAGAATGGCAAAAATACTGCAGAACACAGAATTAGATGACGAAGACGTGAGAATCATTGCCAATCTATACCGATATCAGAAAGACATAATACGAATAGACCAACAAAAATCGAAACAAATACCTATAAATAGTGGAGTAAGACAAGGTTGTGTGCTTTTTGCTTTACTTTTTAATATGCATTCACAATTGTTTAAAAAGAGGCATTAGAAGACGTAAATAAAGGCATATCTATTAACGGAGTATTTCTGAATAATCTTAGATACGCAGATGACACAATACTCCTTGTGGACAACAGAAAACGACTATAGGTTGATCGCATTACCCAATACTGCGAAAGATATGGAATGGCACTGAATTATGGTGGTAAGTAAGAACAAGATTGAGGAAGACAGTGTTTATGCCAAAGGAAAACTTTTAGGCAGGGTGCACAGATATCAGTAATTAAATTGCGAACTAAATGAAGAATGGGATAGAAGTACGGAAATAAAACGGCGTATTGAGATATCTAGAAGTGCTTTTAATAAGATGCAATATTATGCAATGGAAAACTCAACATTAAAATTAGAACTAGAGTATTGAGATGCTACGTGTTCGTTCTCTGTCCTGTTGTATGGAGTTGAGGCCTGGATAATTACATAGGCTACAGAAAAAAAGACTCATTAACTTTGAAATATGGTGTTATCGAAGAATATGAAAAATATCTTGGACACAACACATAACAAGAAAAGAAAAATGAGCTACTTTGGTCACATACTAAGAAACGAGAAATACGAATTGATGCGGCTGGTCTTACAGGGAAGGTGGAAGGCAAAAGAGGACCGGGGAGAAGACGCACGTCCTGGTTGAAGAATCTGAGACAATGGAGTGGGAAAACGTCAATAGAAGATTATTAGAGATGGGGCACAAAAGGGGGGATTAAGAAGAAGAAGAAGCTAAAATTTGACGTTTTGACTTCCACTTCGCAAATGAAGTTCAAAAAGATTATTTAGGAATTTTGTTGAAAAGATTGTGATTGTGAAAACTCAACACCGACTCAACATATCTTTATCTGTCAGATAAAGTCTAAAAATAAAAGACTGCTGTGGTACCTAAAAAAATATAAAATAATAAATTTGGCACAATCACGTTTTAGATCATATCGAAGTACAGCAGACAATCTAGCAGTCCTCTAAATATCACATCTTTCAGTCACAACTCCAATATTAACATCACCTAAACCTTCCTGGAATAAATTGAAAGCAGATTTTAATCTCTCGTTAACTAATTATTATAAACATCAGACAAATCCACAATGCCTAACGCAAACCTTTACAGAATTGCTAACAACAGATTTGACCAAATTGTATTCACAGATGCTTCTAAGAGTCCTATAGCTGTTAGATGTACTGTAACTACAAACACATATCTTGTAATCTCTCGCTCTTCTACTGCATACATACTACTGAATTATTCTCTATTCTCCAAGCTACAAACACTATCACCAGCATATAAAAAACTAGCTACATTGTAGTATATAATGAATTTTTGTAGTACGCCCCTGGTTGTTTATCTCGGTCAGTATAGTAAGTTTTTTTTGAATATTTCGGCGGAGAAGTTAGATGTATGTTGTAAATATTGATATTCGAGCTAGGATATTTCAAGTTTTTTTGTGACGAGATAAGGCAAAAATATATATGTTTTTATCTTTGTTACAATGTTAGGTAAAAACTCCGGTTTAAAATTAGGGTCGCTTGGAATAATCAATAAACTACGTATTATTGTTATTCCAATATAAAAGTAACTATTTCAACATGTTTTTGTCGTGAAAACGATTTGTTTACATACGAGTCTTCTAATATTCCGGTAAAAAAAAGAGGTTTTATTGTCGTTCGTAGTTTTAGAACGAGGGTCCGAGATATTGTTTATTTAGGATTCCTGGCGCCTGAGAGACGCGAGGGGAAATTTATTTGGCGTTCGAATTTGTAGAATGTAACGAAGAGGTAGTCAAGCTAAATCAATCGAACGATGTAGTCACGCTGTGGGGCAGTGAAATTTAGAAAACGTGTCGACTTGAATCAAAAAAGGTCGATTCAATTGTTATTTTTTGTAATGTTTTGAGACCAGTTAATATGAGAATACTCTTGGCATTGAATGCCGTTTTGACAGAGTAGTCATATACTACATTATTTACCTATGGTAGTCATCGGAAGATTTGTATAGATACCGGAAACTTTTTAAAAGTATTGTATAGGATGTCCCCGTCGTCAAGTTGATTCCTCCACACCAAGCCTGTTTCGATCGTTCGTTCCTGAGTATGGAAATGGTTTCCTTGTTCCTGTTGGAGAATATCTCCAGAGATATTGACAAGTTTCAAAGTTAAGTGAAATATGTAAAAATTAAGATAACTTTTAATATATTAATTTTTTTTCCAAGTTATAAAGACATTTTTAATAATTTCTTTCATTAAACATTAAAGAATTTGTAATAATTAAAGTTTTATATTATGGTTAAAGTCATAGCTAAAAAATGTCATATTTTATTCTGATTTAAAATGTTATGTTGACATATGACATTTGCTCTAATCTATTGTTGTTGTAAAACAATTTCAATTTGATTATTATATATATAGATATTTCATAAGGTTAAATTCTACAGTATTTTCATAAAAGGATATCCATAAGTTTTTTTGATAATCTAATTGGCGATATTATAACTTAGGAACCATTTCAAAAAAATCTTTGTAGCTATCTATTTTGTAAACAAATAACACGTAAGTTTTTGTTAATTTGTATTATGTTATATAGTATGCTTCTTGTGTAAAATCTGTATTTTTAAAACTGTTTGTTTGAGACAAACTAAAAGTTTGATTTGTTTCTCTGATCCATTTTGTGTTTTAATTTAGAAAAGTCTCCTAATCCTTGTATGTATTTTAGATTTTAGGAAGAAGAATTTTTTCTTTCTCCCAGCAAAAAGTTTTCTTCAAAGCGGCGTCCAAAAAAAATAGCTAGAGGTAACCTTATCTGCCATATCTTATTCGTTTTTGACCCAGGAGATTTATGTAATTATCCCTTTGTTTTCATTTAGTAGAGACCCCAATCCGACCTAAATTTATTTCAACTTATCCACGACCCAGCTCTCCAACAACCCTCTGTGTGCCGTACGCACTATTTCCTATTATTTTGTTTGCCCAATCTTCTCCCCCATGTTCTTACCCTGAGGTAAGCAAAATATACTCGTTACAATATGTACAGACTCTTTAGCGTCTACTCTCTCAAAAGTATGTACACGGTACATCCTTTGGTTCAAGCTATTCAAAACTCTTTCGATAGTTTAATCTCACTGGGAGTACCCATAGCCATGATCTGGATTCCGTCTCATGTAGGAATCCCTGTTAACGAACGAGCCGACCTCTTGGTAAAACAAGCGCATCTTCCAATATGGAGACTGAAAACATTCAATTATATACATATTTACAGTTAAGTAGTATTTTAAAAAATCATACAAATGTCTTGGCAAGATCACTGGAATAAAATCCCTTCCAAGCTTCTTGATATCCATCCCACCGTTAAAAAGCTTGAGTTTCCTTCCATGACACGAAAAAACAAAATCTTAATTCGCTGACTTAGAATCGGTCATAAAAGACTAACTCAAACATTTGATGACTTCCCAAGATCCACCTACATGCACACACTGTGGTAATTTTATCTGTTAAACATATTCTCGTAGACTGTCTCTATTTCAACAACAACAGAGAAAAGAATCTTTTGAGTCAAAACCTACAAAATATTCTCAGCTCGTCAGATCAATTCCAATACCTTATTAATTTCCTTTATGAAACCAGACTTTACCAGGAAATTTAGAAGAAGAAACGTAGTTTAGAATTTGATAATAATTGTACCAATATTGAATGTATTTCGTTATCGATTGTAATGTTACTGTATATTCTTGTAATGTAACGTAATAAAATTGTACCTGTGTCAGTGACCTACGCAATCAAGACACGTAAAGCTAAATAAAAAAAACCTTTATTGAATTTTGTTGTAACTTTAAATGGTATGTACCAGTGTCAACTATGCGTAAGTACTTACCAAGAACCGATTTTTTCCTGTAGGCGGATAAGCATATTTGATGCCTCTAAAGACATAATGGGGATAATCGATCACTCCTTGTACTCGGGCTGATCTACCCGCAAAATTTGTAAATATAGTAGGATCGTCTGATGGCGGTTCGGCGGCAGGAATTCCTCCAACTATTCTCTTTACTCTTGGGCTGCGTTCATCGCAAAATGATAAGTTTGTGAGATAAAATAAAACAAGGAAAATGCTCGAAATCATTCCTATAAAAGTAAACTATTAATTTGCTATATTCATATTGATCGTTACATTATATTCTCATTCATTATACATTGTATTCTCATACATTATATTCTATTCAACATCATTGTTGTTATCCATCATTACTACCTATGTCATATTGAAAAAAACATGACAAATACAAAATTTGAGTTCAGAAATTCAGTGGGAAGGCGGTCTGGCAAAATTTTTTACAAGAAATGTGTAGAAGAACAAAGTAGTAGAAAGAACGATTTGGTAATGAATGAAAAAATTAACGATGGTAAGAATGACAGACGAGATATGCAGTAGATATCAAGGAACGAAGAAGCTGGCGATGAAGTTGTTGAAAGAAGAGAACATCCAGGACAGGAAAGTGGTAGTAAAACAAGATGTAAAATCAGTTTTGAAGACCGTGCGTGCATCTAAGCACTGTTAAATCTAACAAAACACTGCATAAGTAACACATATTTCATCTATAAGTAGTAAAGATATAAACAAGTTGAAGGAGCACCGATGGATTCACCACTGTCACCGCTAATAGCATACCTGTTAATGCAAAAAATCGAACAGCGAGCAATAGGATCAGCCAAACACAAACCCAAACTTTGGCTTAGGTACGTGGATGATACTTTTATAATCTGCATAAACTGAGAAGGAAAACCAAAGGAATTTTTAGAACACTATGAAACTGGAAGAAAACGAACAACTACCATTTTTGGATGTGTTAATAATAAAGAAGAAAGACGGGCACATAGGACACACAGTATACCGAAAACCCACACATACTGACCTAGATATCTACATGCCGTTTCACATCACCATCCTGCACAATTACATTCAGTCATTGAAACCCTGATGACGCGATCCGAAAGACTGACAAATGAAGAACATACAAATAAAGAAATGCATAATGTGAAAACAGCGCAAAGAAAAAACGGTTTTTTGCAACATATACCATTGAAAACGCTCATAATGCCCAAGAAAGAATAAAGGACCAAACAGAAGATGAAAAAAGGATTGCTAATTGAATTGATGAAAAGCTATTCTACCATATGTAAAGGGTACAACAGAGAAAATAGTGAGAGTGCTAAGAAAACACAAAATAGAAACGATATTTAATCCCGACAGAAAGATCTCAACCATTTTACCATCCGCCAAAACAAAAATATGGTTAGAAAATCAAGGAGTATACGAGATTCCTGTGCAAATCTTACATCGGACAGACCAACTGAAGAATCAATATTAGACGAGAAGAACATTGAAATGCCATCGAAAGGAGAGAAAAATGTCATTCCTTGCACAACATGTCTCAAACACAGGACATACAATAAACCTGAACCAAATTACGAAAGAAAATGCGAAATCAGAGAATCAATAGAAATAGAAAAATTCTCAACAGTCTAAACCAAAGTCATAGAAAAAGTCAAAAATACATCAGACCACAAGACCGACTAGTAGGACCCCGCCTACCTAGACACGAACAGGACCAATCACAAGAAGGTTTGCCAAGGACCGTTCGAGAAAGCGCGCCTCGATCGGCTATAAAAGTAAACGCATCGACCAGGAGAGTCAATTCAAAAAAAAAATCAACAAAAAACACAAAAAACCGGCTTCGGCCACCCAAAAAATTTAAAAATACTAACAAAAACCGGCGAAAGCCACCAAAAAAATTAACAAAAGCCGGCGAAAGCCTCAAAAAAAATTAACAAAAACCCCAAATCCCGGGCACGTATAGCCCAACCCTTGAGTACCAAGTCGCCAAACTGAGCCTTGACTCAGACTGGAGACTTGAGGCCCAAGTAAGCAATTTTAGTTCGCGGATAAGCCACATTAAGATAACATGAATATAGCGAAAATGCGCTGTCCTGAGTTTTTACAAATCGGTTAGGAAACCATGTTGGGGTTCTATTACCCAAGACCTCCACATGAAGAGCATTTGGCTGATTGTTGTGCCTCTATGGCGCATCAGAGTGCTATAGGGGGGAAAGGGATGGTCTAGAGCATTGGACGTCGTCAAAATAATGGTTTTTATCAAAGAGTGTGAAATTCCTACAATCGGCAGACCCACTTGATGCACAGCAAACGACTTAAATTAATAATATGTAATAATAAAATGGCATAACATGGAATAAAATAGAATAAAAGGGAATAAAAAAGAATACAATGGCATAACAGGGAATAAAATAAAAAATTAAGAATTTAAATTAAATTGAATTAAAATAAATTCAATTAAATACAACAAAATAAAATAAAATATAATAGGACGCTCCAGTTGACAATTAACAATTGTTAGACATTGAAATTGGTAAAGTCACTATACTCGTCTAAGATACGTCAATTACTGTTACTTCACAGACTCAAGAGAGGAGCTTATTGAAGTTTAGGGTAGGTTTAGTACTAAGGCGGTACAAAGTTTTCCGGGTAAGCTAGTGTAGAAGTAGTGTTTTTTGGAGAAGAGTTGCTGGAGATAGGACGGAATGGGGAATGTGTTAAAGTAGGCTTTGCTCATAATATGTTGTAGTCCCATTGATGACGATATGCCGTTGAAAGGAGAATGCGCAGATGAATATAATTGAAGGAATGATTAAATACAAATCGAATATATTATGAGATTTGCCATTGCTTGATTTCGAACCGAAAGAACATATTAAGATGGTTAGTTGGCGTATTTTTAAGTAGGGACAAGAGAATTACCCAATATGAACAGTACAGGCTGAGTTTTCTAAAAAAATTTGAAGAAAAAGGCCACGAAAGACCTAGTGCAAGTTCTACGAGATTGATAGTGCGAAATAGAAAAAACAGTTTATATATTGAAACGATAGCCATCTAATATGTATACAGTAAAGATGTCTTGTGTTAATGTTTCATTCTCAAAAGTAATAAAACATATAATTATAAATTTAAAAGAATGAAGACAGTTACATCACAAAAGTATTATACTGAGATGTCATTACTTAAAACAAGTTAATGTTGGTATATATTGGTCATTTTAAAAATAATAAATTAAACTCTATACAGCTCTTACCGATTGTAGTAAACGCCAAAAACTGAACAATTTTAGTTATTGTAAAAAAATTATGAAATGGTATAACAGGAAGGAATATTTTAATATTATCAGACACTCCCACACGTTCATATCGTCGGTGAGATAAACATGATACTTTATATAAAATGAATTAATTTTTTTGTCGTTTAAATACCTATTTCAAACTAATAAATATATGCTGCTAAATAAAAAATTCCCGATACTTTTTTGTGGTCATATAAATAGGTAAATTTACACTCCGTCAAAAAACTATCGCATTAGCTACCTATGAAACTGCAAATTTTGTATTAAAAATAATTTAAAACATGGATTTTTTACTGTTGTTTTTTTGTTTTAAATATTAAAAGAAAAATGCAGGATGTATGAAAAACAAAGGTTTTATTTAACTTATTTCAAAAATTAGAAGTAAAGGCACAAACAGCATTGAATAAATAAAATCAAAATCAAAAGTAATGATAATTTAGTAAGATGTATTGCCTCCTCTAGGTCTTATAACATCTAGACAACGTTGTAGCATACATCCAATTATTCTTCTGATCAGATCTCACCCTTATGTAAAGTAAGTCACAAACATGTTCTGACTGGAGTTTTTCTTCTGAAGACATTGACTGTAATGTTAGTGATTTTCTAAATAGACTTGTATCTATTTTTAATAAAGCATTTCCTCTATTAAACATCAGGCCAAACATAATAAACCTTGGATTACCAAAGGCATTCGCATATCTGCGAAAAATATGCGTTCTCTGCTATATATTAAAAAATTTAATGACAGTATCCCCATCTCTGATTATATCAACAAGTACAGAAAATGCTATATAAAATACTCAAAGTAGCCAAAAAATCCTACTTTCATAATCGCTTAACAAGCTCCAAAAATATTTCAAAAGAAACTTGGTCAATAATACACGATTTTCGAAATAAAACCAGTACAGCGGATCAAACCTTTTCTTTTCCTAACCCCGAAAATCTAAATGATTACTTTGTTAATGTGAGTAAAAATATAACCTCAACTATTTCGCCACATCAAGATCCAGTTTCCTATCTCTCTAATTCAAAAAACATTGCTGATACCTTCTTTTTAAGACCAGTTGATAAGACGGAACTCATTTCAACAATTCGTAGTATAAAAAGCACATCGTCCTGTAGTACAGATGGATTATCTATTAAATTTTTCTCAAATCTACCGCATAATGTTTTGGACGTCATGGTCTCGCTAGTAAATAATTCCCTTGAAAAAGGTACATTCCCTAACTGCCTAAAGACTGCCATCGTCATTCCTCTTCATAAAGGTGGAGAAAAATCTGATGCCTGCAACTATAGACCTATTGCCTTGTTACCAGCACTATCAAAAATTATTGAAAGACTTATAAAAGTTCGACTTATGCCCTTTCTCCTTAAATATAATATTTTATCGCAAAATCAGTTCGGCTTTTTGTCTAATAAATGCACTAGTGATGCCATATTTTCTGTGTTACATGATGTATATCTATCACTAAACAGTAACCTCTCCTCCGCCACCGTTTTCTGAGACTATTCCAAAGCCTTTGACTGCGTAAATCACGACATTCTATTAAAAAAATTAACTTTCTATGGAATTCGGGGTGTGTCTTTGAACTGGTTCAAAACTTACTTGGTAGGTAGGAAACAATTGGTTAGAATAAATGACACCGACTCTAGTTGTAAAGATATTGAGTGTGGAGTACCGCAAGGTTCAGTATTAGGTCCCATTCTTTTTTTACTTTTCATTAATGACATCACTTACTTGAAAATTAAAGGGAAAATTTTTCTATTTGCTGATGATACCAGTATTACATGGAGCAGCTCTGATATTTCAACGCTTCATTCAATTATAACCGATGATTTACTTATAATCAAGGCTTGGTCAGACTCCAACTTACTTAGCTTTAACGTGGATAAGACTGTAGCATTATCTTATAAAGGAGTCATGCAACCCTTGCTTTTGAATGAGAGCCAAATCAATATCGTAAATTCCGTGAAATTTCTAGGTATTCTCATTGACAGTGATCTCAAATGGTCCTTGCATACTGACTCCTTAAGGAAGAAACTAGCCTCAGCTTGCTTTGCAATAAGATCTGTTTCGAAGGAACTAAATTTATCTTCTGCCAAAATGGCATATTTCTCATTGTTCGAGTCCCATCTTCGATATGGGCTTCCATTTTGGGGTTCTAGTACAGCGGCCCAATTTGATACTATTTTTAAGTTGCAAAAAAGAGCAATCCGTTATCTATTCGGTCTCAAACAAACAACTCATTGCAAGACCTACTTCAAAAATCACGGAATTTTGACGCTTCCCTCTTTATTTATTTTGGAAACGGTTTGTTTGATTCGAAAGCATCTAAACATTTTCCCGATAGACCTGACCATGGCTACTCCATTAGAAATTCGGATTGTAACGTTTATTTGCCGATCCCGTCCACTCAGCTAGTAAAGAATTCTATTCTATATCGTGCAAAGAAACTTTATAATCACCTTCCAAGAGAAATTAAATCCGCAACATCCTTCATTAAGTTTCGTAAGGTGACAAAAATCTATCTCTCAGAAAGACCATATTACTCAGTTGACGAGTTTCTTAATGTATAACAAAGAAACAAAATTAGTATTGTTTATAATTACATTTGGGTGTCTCAAGCAGTGGCTACAATTTGTCTCATTTGTTGTTGTCTGTACAAATTATGTAGGTTATACAATAATTTTACTAATTTAAAATTGTGTTATTCTGTTTTTCACTATATTGTTTTTGTTTTATACTTTTTGTATTATTTGACTGATTTATTTTTTAGCTTTGTCCATAAAATTGTTCAATAATTTTCAGTGACAATAAAGCATATTTCTATTCTATTCTATTCATGTTCTATTGGATTAAGAGCGTAGGCGCAAAATTTCGGGCCAATGCTTTTTAAATGGATTCATTTTTTCGAATCCTGAGGAACTAACAAATATTTTTGAAAAAATTTAAACGCAGAATGAAGATTAATTATTACCGAGGGCCGAAAGTTCCTTAGAAAAAACAAAAAGTTTTTTTAAATGAGATATTTGAAATTAAAAATCACACTAAATTTTCATTTTTTTTTTCGCCCCTGTAACTTATTAAAATAAACATTATAGAAGCTTTCCTGGACTTTCCGCCCTCGGTAATAATGTATTATTTCATTCTGCGTTTAAATTTTTCAAAAATATTTATTAGTTTTCTCAAGATTCGAAAAAAATGAATGCATTTAAAAAGCATTGGCCCGAAATTTTGCGCCTACCCTCTTAACAGTTGAAGTTTTGTAGAAAATATTTCAAAGAGCAGTAAACATTTTGTATGTTTTAATTTGCATTATATTATAGGTATTGTAATTATTAATATCGTGTATTAATATCCTGGTTTCAATTATAGTATATAAAAATCGAAGCATAAAACATTTGACGTTTATTATTAAATCTTAAAAAAATATTTCCATTTAATACATAAGATATTGCATTGATAGAAATTAGAGCATTATCACATCATTTCTCTTCCTATTTTCCCACATCTCTCTCTTCAATCCTGACCCCCCAGGGGGAGTGTAGTGGTCGACGTGATGTCGTGTATTGTCCGTCTCCAGAGATCTCTGTCTCTGGTCATTTCTTTTAATTCATGCATAGGTCTTTGGTATATTCCTGTAATTTGATCTATCCATCTTGTTGGGGATCTTCCTCGTGATCTTCGGCCTTCTACCTTTCCTTGTATTATGAGTCTTTCCATGTTTTCTGTGTTTGCTCTCATAACATGCCCAAAATATTTTAATTGTTGGAGATGGACTTTACTAGAGAGTCGTTGGCTAACTTTTAGCTCTCTTAAAATTGAATTATTTGTTCTACAGTCGGTCCAAGGAATTCGTAACATTCGTCTCCAACAGAACATTTCAGTGGCGTCTATCTTTCTTCTCTCCGATTGTCTCAGAGTCCAAGATTCACATCCGTAGGTCAGTATTGGGAATATTAAGCAGTTGATCAACCTCATCTTTATCGCTCTTGAAATTTGACAGTCCTTCCATATTTTGGTCATTTTTGTTGTGGGAACAAAAACTCATTTTCCCACGTGAACAAAGTTAATTAAGACCAACGACGTATGATGCACGTTCTTAAGAACAGTCAGTAAGGTATATCAGAGATATTATTTGATCTATTTTTTTGGATAGGTACTCTAAAAAAATATTGTAATTTGACGCTTGCTAACACATTTTTCTATTTTTTCGAATGCATTGTCGTTATAAAGATAATTATAAGACAAATTTGTGAATGCACTGTAAAACAATTCGCCGTGTTCTTCTGTTCTCTCTCTCCAGTTTCCATATATCATTTTCAACAGTCGCAATCACGGTATTCACAACTCCCCATTCATCATTCTCGTTACGAAGTACCAACTAGGACCCCAGGGAGATGTATTCGTCTTCGTTTAAACCCATCTTATACTCTCGTCTTCCTCTCTTCCAATCGTAGCATACCATATAAGCAGGGTATGTTCCACAGTGTCTTCATACTGTTTTTGGCAATGTACATAACGTATCCATCTTCTACTTGCCAATTCCTTTCAGGGAAGAATCGAAGCCATCGAGGCCTTTGATCTTTTTGAAGAATACCTTTATAAGCCTGTAGAGTGCCTCAGGGTGTGAGGAAAATGTGTAATGTGTCTAGGGAAAAATATTCTTCTTCTTCTTTCTTGTATGTAGGCTTTAAGCCTGTTTCTTCTTCGATGTTAGTCTCCTAATTGTTTAAATTAGGACTTTTATGATAAGCTTAAGTGCAGTGTTCAGTAGATTTATACCTCTATAATTGTTGTGGTCTTCTTTATCTCCTTTCTTAAACATTGGTATCATTATGCTGTTTCTCCATGCGTCTGATATCTTGCAGTACAATCTACCATAGGGGAAATACAGAGAAAACTCGTAATATAACTAAATCTTTTTGGTTTTTTGTCAACAGACGATACAGTTATAAGTTACGATGAACACCGCAAAGTAACTTTTTTTTCATCTTGGAAAATTAGCAGTAATTTTCGTAATTTTTTATATTTTTGTATCAAAACACTCCTAAAATGTTGTACTATAATGTACTAATGTTACAAATAAATTTACATTAAACAATTTAAAAAAAAAATCTTAAAAATAAACCCTACTCCCCCATCCCATTAAGAGGGCTTTTAGCATGTGGTATATGATATTACAGTTTTTTTATTTTCTTCAATTTACTTTTGGTAATCATACAAATGTTTATTTTGTCATTTCTTTGGGGATGATTCCTGTTATGTACATTTTACTGAATAATGATGAGATTTATAGGGTTTCATCCATTTTATTGTTTGGACAACTTCTTCTGTTTTAATTAATTCTTTTTTAGTAATCCCGGGCCTTACGTATCCAATTAGACTGTTCATGGAGGAATTTTCTTGTCTCTGGGGTTGATATAATTGCCCTATGTATTCTGTCTATTTTTATGTCGGCTTAATTTTTGTTCTGTTTCCAAAATGTCTCTCTTTCTTTCCCTGACTGGTAGTTTGTTGAATTTTCCATTTTATTACCCAAGTTAATTCTTTAACTTTCTTATGCAAATGAGAGGTTACCATATTTGCTTTCCTCACTTTTTTTACATTTTACTGAATAATACGTTTTTTTCATCCCTTACTTTTCTATCTATTATTTTATTTTATAACTAGAGAAAAATATTTATGGAAGCAGCATAATTTGCATATTTTGCGTATTTTATGCAAAAATAGCGTTTTTGCATATTTTCGAACAAACTGTCATATAGTGGGAAGACTATAGGTTTTCAAAGTCGAGAAGACTGGCATGGCTTAGAAAAGTGCCCACAAAACTCCAAAGAAAATATTTGTACGAAAGAATGGAAGGGACAAGGAGGGCTAGTAGACCAAGGGCAGCGATGGCTAAAGGTCGTGAAGGAGCAATTGAAAGCGGAGGAGAGATAAGGCGAAGAAGAGAGGACACTGGAGGAGAATTGTAGCACCAAGGATGATGAATATACCTAAACTTACTGAGAAATTAAAACTAATAAGATTTATATCAATAACAACTTATTTACTGTTTTCTTTTTTATTTTATTAAAAATTATAATAGTATATATCAATAAGACTAATAAAGGCCAACTAATAAATAAATTCATCTAAAATCTACATCTACACGGAATTTTTCTGTGTCAGTGTATCATTCTCGTATGTTTCCAATACATCAGCCAAATGTTCGTTATCGCGAGGTTTCTTGAATGTCTTCTTTCTTGTACCAGGTTTCTTTCTTTTTGGGGCCATGGGTTTCTTTGGTCCGTGGTCTTGCATAGAACGGATACCTAAAAATTTAATTAAAAAATATAAGATGAATGATTTCTAGAGGGAAAAACATGACAAGAAACTCAAGCCAAAAAAGCTAGACCTATCAAAATTTGCCTTAATTTAGACAAGAACTGGCGTTAATGACTGGCGAATAATAGAAATCTCTATTAGTATAAATATATTCATGTAATGATGGACTAAAAACTGTTTGAACCAATAAAAAGGCAGTAGGAATTTGGATAGATATACAAACATACTTTTTGTACCGATTTGATCCGAGACCCTAATTTACATAACAATCCACTACTAAATGGTTACTAAATAACATTCTTATTATATGTAGAGCACAAAAAGTCAAAATCTGAATCAACTTCTTGGAGACTTTGACTTTTTAACGATCCAAAAACCTTTTATTTTTTTAAATTCCATTTAAATCAGAAAGCAGTAACTTTTATGTGATCCTGTATAATTTATTATGATTTAAAAGAAATGAGTTTAATTAATTAGAATTGTTATTTTTTAATGGGTGTTCAAGTTTTACTATTTGTATACTGCTATATATAGTTCCTACTGGAAGTAAGTTTTCCTAATTGGTCTAATTCAAACGAATGATAAACAAATGTGGTGTAACTTTTAGTAGGAAGCAGTTGTTGCTTATCAATTATGATATACTTACCCTGCTTATCCAAATACTCTTCTATTTTAGCATCATCCATTGCATCTACAGCAACTGACCTCCATAATTTTTGAAATTCTTCATCAATAGGTAGCGATGCAGTTCTATCATTATAAAATAATACTTTTCGTTTGTCCATAGGCCGAGTTATGAAAATAATTTCATTTTGGTTTTGTAATATCTAAAATTTGCAAAGCGAAATACTAATTAGGTAATAATTTAATAATACAGGGCTTTGTCATAATCTCAACCTTGTAACTGACATTTTAAATTAAAAGATGAGGACAAGATATATGTTGTTGAAAAATGCCTCTATATTATTGTCCATCATTCACTTCAAAAGCATGAACAATGCATTATCTACTTAGAAATAAGCTGTGGCAATGATCGATATTACTCTGCACCTTATGCCCATGTTGATTGCTCTTTTCTAATTCTCACAAAAAGCATGATTTAAGTCATATACAATGTTTATAGACAAAATATCACTATTAGACTTAGTCAGACTTGTATTACACACAAAAGAAATTCACAAAAATCTTAAAAATAAATCCCATATACATTATTATAGGACTTAATTCAAGATATAGCATTAAAATCATACAAGTGATACATAGCCTTGCTTACATCAACACAGAATTAGATCCAGACCGAGAGATTAGGGTACGAATAGAAATGGCAAGGACAGCGTTCTTAAAATTCAATCAATTGTTCTCTGACAAAAATCTGAATACTGTGCTGACACTGAGGTTTGGTGAATGTTACGTCTGGTCCCAACTACTGTATGGGGTAGAAACATGGACGTTAAAAGCGCAAATAGTTAAGAAGCTTGAAGCCTTTGAACTTTGGATTCCATGGACTGCCAGGGTCACCAATGAGGAAGTGCTGAGAAGGATGAGTTGAGACAAAATATGGTTAGGAACAATAAAAGTATGCAAGACTGCATACCTTGGACACATACTGAGGAATGATAAATATAGTCTTCTGCAGGTCATCATGCAGGGTAGAGTCAATGGCAAAAGGGAATAGGTAGAAAGAGGAAGTCATGGCTGCGAAATTTTCGAGACTGGACAAACATGACTGTAGATGAATTATTCCATGTTGCAAAAGACAGAGAAGCTTTTAATAATGTGGTCGCCAACCTCCATTAATGGGGACGGCATAGGAAGAAGAAGAAGATACATAGCCCCCACAAGCTCTGGGGGAAACTGTCGGGGCTGTCAGGAACAAACGGGACTGTCAAAACTGAGTTAGATTCATAACAGATAAAAAGAATAGTATTTGCATAAACTTTGCTGGTTAAATATTTACATATATTAAAATTAAAGAAAAGATTAATACTATTATAAGAATTAATATTAAACTCAACAGGATTCCAGTGATTGAACCGCATTAATTATCACTGCACTGAGCCTTCAGTGTAGGGTGTAGGACTTCCTAGTTGAATAACAAGATTGAGCAGATTAAATAAAGAAATACAAATTCATATCATAGGACAAATGAATAGAGAACAAATCCTTGAGACAGTAGCAACTTTTTATAAAGAATTGTATCAAAAACACCCACAAGAGCTGACAAACATTGCAATATCCTTGTCATTAATCTAGGATCAGAGGATATTCCTGAAATTATTTTGTCAGAAATAAAAAAAGCATAACCAAGAAATATCTGCCAATGTGAGAAGCAACAAAGAACCTAGTGAAGACAAAATGATATTGAAGCATAAACGTAAGTGAGCAGATATTAACACAATCATTAATAAGCCTAGTCAATAAATCCACAGTGAAAGGAACAACACTAGGCCATTGGAATGGTGCAATTATTGTACTCATAAAAGGAGATATAGCCAACTTTAGAAACTAGCCACTTATAAGTTTCACATATACACAAAATTTTCACAAGGATTATTAGCACAACAACAATAAACCACTGAACCTAATATTTGTGGATTATGAGAAAAAAATTGATACAGTTAAATAACATAAATTGATTGAAGCTTTAGCAGACTGTAGAATTCACCATCTATATACTACAATAATCAAACATATTCATGAAAGCACAACAGCAAGTGTTAGGTTCCACAGTGATATCAGGTCAAACGATAAATTTCTCAAAATCACAGCTAATGGCAAACTTAGTTTCCTCAGAGAAAGTATTTATGTCAATCAAATGATAGATTTGCCTTCTCAAATAGGGAAGACTTTGTCTCCTTGAGTTAAGAGATTATCAAACAATCAATCTCTATTGGAGAATAAGACTCATGGGTCACCTTTGCTTAACTGCTTGACACTCTTCAAAATAAATCATTAAAAAAAGTTTTGAATCAATTTGCCCTGCCTGGCCTATCTCCAAAATCAATTCAGAAACCCTAACCCTAAAAAAAAGAATGTTTCAAAGAGATCAATTACCTTTCACTTCATTGTTTAATGTAGAACAAGAGAACACATTAAAAAAGAGTTTTCAAAGCAGTTCAATGCATTATTCTTACAAATACTTACCCTTAAAGCCTTTTCACTATGTGGAAGTGACTCTTGAACATCATCCATCAAAACTCCTCCTAAACCCTTTAAATCCTGTTGTTTTAATAGTTTCAATAAACTTTTTCTGTCCTTTAACTTATACAGTGACTTAAAAAGAAACTTGCCGTCAGGTGTGGCTTCTATTTTCACATTGTTTAAAAGTGCTTCAGTTTGCAGCCACTAAAAATATGATAAATATTTATCACCTACAAAAGATTATACTTATAAATTAAAGCTAAATATACGAAATTGTGATTTAGGTATTAACAATGTTGGATCTTTGTTAGCAGTATGATACAAGAATTACTAAATCAAAAGAAAAAATCTTTCTACAAAGATTTTACAATGAATAGTGAATGTAGCATATTGTATACAAACATGTATACTATCTGTTAATAAAATTTGTAGTATATAAGAAGGTAGACAAGAGTAAATTGTTGGTTTTATTCAAACTACTTATTTTTTTTTAACACCTGATCTTTTGCCATAAAAAAAATATCTTAATGACACAGTTTAAGATTATTACTTGTTTAACTTTGTTGCCAACATCAAGTTGATTTGTTTCATCGAGAATTTCTTCTAGTGTCAATGGATAAGTTTCTCCATCTTGATGTCTAGTTTTCATATGTTTAACAATTTTTGCTAGGACTCCAAAACGATATTGAGTACTTCCAGTAGATGTCTTGTATCTAGAAGCAAAGCAAATGATTAAGAAATTAAATGATTGATTTACCAATAATAAAGCTCCTACATAATTTTTAATCTCAGCTTTTTTACTTTTTACCTACATGCTAGGATAATTTAGGAATAAGTTCTATAGGTAATAAAGGAAATTCGTATAATATATATAAATCCTTACGTATTAATGTCAAGTTTAGGAGCACTATTACTACTGACTGATGGTTTGGATTTTTTCTTTTCATCTTTAGAAGGTTCAGGTTTGGATTCTGCCTTTTTCTTTTCAACCCTAAAAGTTAAAGATTAGTGTATATTGTCACAATTTTATTTATTACTTACGTTGGTGTGGTTAAGGCTTTTTTCTTGAATAATTCTCTCTCTTTTAAAAGCGCTGGATCCATTTTAACTACGAGATTTATTAAACCATAAGGAACTTAACAAAATCAAAACCTAAACAAGATTTACGTCAATGTCAGTGTAATTTTTTCAGGTTATTTCAACTTCTTATTAACAGTGGACCTAAAATGTAAGCAATATAGTTATAATTTCAGTTTTTAAAATTAAATTTTTATAATAACCATGATGTTTAAACAATTACATTTATTATATTACTATTATATTACGGACGACAGTTAGTTTATACCGGAAAATTGAAGTTAGAAAATTATTATATCTTTATTTCTTTCTTTTCTTCTAGAAACGTTCCTTACTTGTACCAAACTTCATTATTGTTTACAAATTGGTTGTCAAAATTGTTCATTTTGTTTTGATTTATGATTATTAGCTATTCTTTTCAGTAATAAAATAAAACAATCATTTTCAAATGGCTTCTGCTAGCAGTACTAGTGCAAGGTCATTATTTGCTGACTCAAAAATGCGTCTTGCAGATCGTGTGCAAGTAAATGTTAATAATATATCATCACTTGCTAGACAAATCACAAGAGGATCTAAAAGTACAGAGGTGCAAATATTTAAATTACCGAACAAAAATACCAAAAAAGTTCCAACTATTTACTCTAAAAAATATCTTTTTTAGATTTTGATGCATTCAGCCCGAAATTTTGCTGTGCAAGAACAAGCTATGGAAAACAGTGAAAACAATCTCAAGAAATTACAAATTCTTTGTGTTCATTTAGATCATCAACATGATGCCATGATAAAGTCAGCGCAGCAGCTTGAAGAAGTAAAAGAGCAAGTTTGTGCTATGCAGAGATAATTTTCATCAAGAATATAGATGCTGCTGCAGAAATTTTTAATTATCAAAGTCTGAAAGTAATAATTTGTAACTTCATGTATCTCTAATTGATGGAAAGTAGTTTATAGATTAGATACACATAATTTTTAATGGGCAGCTTGTAAAAATATTTCTTTGCAATTTGCCATTTCCCAGGCTGTCTCTTCTCTTAACTTATTTTCTGTAGTGCAGAAATTTGCAACCATTTACCAAGAACAGTCACAGGGAGAAAATTTAGATCAGAAAACAACACATTGATTTGTTTGACTGTGCAGCTAGGCGAAATATACTACTTAAATATTTAGTTATTTCTAATTCTACTATACTTATGCCTCACTATTTCCTTAATTTGTATTGTAGAAAATATATTATTATTTTATCTTATTATAATTTTATTATTATATAATGTTTTCCATCAGTTAAGTTGGTAAAACTAGAGTATTGCATTTGTATTCCTATTTTTGCCATTGATTTTTGTTATTTATGTAAGTAGGTTAGTTTGCAGAATGTTTTTACTCACTTCATGCTTTTACAGTAATTCATTTAATTATTTTGCAGATTGAGTTTATTACTGAAGTGCTCAATCCTCGAGTATCCATTAATTGAATTGAAGCACTTTATTCTTGCAGTATAACCATTATCTTTGCAGTTTTGTTAAGAGTATTACTAAAACTGGGTAAGATGTTGGTATAAATTCCAATACTTGTAAATTGATATTGTAATACAATGTGACAATTTAATGAAAATTGCAGTTAGTTAAATATTGTGTTAGTTTATGTTGAAAGACAAAAATACTATGTTATAACATAAAGAAGACACATTTTTAATATCACCAATTTTAATAATAAATTTATAAAATAAATCACTAAGATACCCAAAGCAAAATGCCACAAAAATTCAAGTAAAACATCCATCTGAATAAAAATAGGTGAATAAAATTTGTTACATGAATGTTTTAACTGTTTGGGGAGACTAAAGAAAAATGCAAAAAGTATTATTAATTCTAGTTTGTGATACATTATTTTTATGTGATACATTTATGTAAATATTTCTTAAGCATATTTTTATGAAATATGTATTATTTCTTTTACATTTGTATTTGGTATGAGATTATAATATCAATATTGTGTGTAGATAGTAGTAAAAGAATAAATAATTAACCAAATTATATTTGATTTGTTCCTCTTTAATGACAATCTCTCACTCTCACACACAAATATCTCTCAAATATTCATCAAGCAATAGTGAGAGATATGGTGTTCTTATGGTTCAATCAGAGATAGAATTCAAACTGGTGTATGCACTCCCGCTAGATTAGGACATTCTGCAACATTTACAAAACATGAAGAAATGAAAATTGTAAACCAAGTTTTACTTTTGTCAAAACTATTTTATGGGACATCCCAAATTGAACTAAGGCATGTAGACTGGATGTATGGTTTGCTTAGAAGATCCCTAGTTTAAGAATAGATCACGACAAATTGTTAAGAAGATTTCTAGACCAGAAAATGTATAGTACACCAAAAGTTAGCTCACGGAAGCTATCAAAGATAGTAATGGCGAACATGCAGAATTTGAGTATGAAGACAAACAGCAATATTGGAGGCAGAATTTATAGGAGCCAAGCCCAATTTGGGCTGTTAGGCCATTGTTATTAGAATAAACAACTTATAAATACCTATGTTGGAGTTTAGATGTACACTGGAAAAAATCAAATGCAGAAATGAGAAAACTTTCGATATTATCTTTTGTATTCTTTACATTTAGATAAACAATGAGCCGAATGTCTTTAAAAAGACTGGAATTTTGTAAAATGTTAACCTATACGAGAATGTTAAAAAATCCGTGAACTACAGGAAAATAAACGAACATATATTTAAGTCAATTAAAATTCTTTTCCAAAATCGTCTTAATGCATCAAGCTGTGGCGTTGTGCTCCCACTAGCCCAGCTGGGATTTATGTTGACATTTTCCCAAAAGAAAGATAGTATGGATAGTATAGAAACAATATCGAACAATTTGAGATTTACGAGATATGTAGAGGTTATTATTTTGATAGAAGATGTGATATTACTATTAAAAAGTGCGAGTACAGTTGCGCTCGAGCAACGCGCCGAGTACGAGTTGAGAGCATCAGCTGGCAATTTCAAATTACTCTATTTAGCGCAAATTACGTCAAAATTAGTTAAGAAGTTAGTAAAGCTCAAAATTGTATACTATACTTATATAACTTCGTCAAAAATTTATAAAATGCATTCAAAAGCTATAGCTATACAAACGAACAGTTTGTATTTTGAGAACGATTTCCGAAGTGGAAATTGAAACGTCAATAAACGTATTTTTATCTTTAATTGTGGCTTATTCACAGTTAAATAGTAATTAACTTTAATACATGCTTGCAAACCAGAATACTTCAATTCATATTACTGACATTCTCATAAGACTGGCTTCTACAGTTCTTAATATCTAATTTCAAAGACTCTAAACATTCCAATAACTGTAAGTTGGTCATGGTGTGTTATGTCAAGTGTTGAATCTACCCTTATAGAATAGTATTTGTTTGCCTAACAATTTCATCAATTACTCGATTAGACAAAATAATTAGTAAATCGTTACATATATCTTTTGACAGATATGACGTTGTGCCTTTAAATAAATTTGCTCGTTTATTAATATGATCTTTTAAAAATGGATCATATTATGACAATAGTTTCAGTAAACCTTTTCGATTCCGTTTTTCACCAATTTTTTCATAAGTACCTCTAAATTCTAATTCCCTGGTAGCCAGAAACTTTATTACATCTATAATTATTCTTTCTAGTACTTTAACCCAATATTCTTTCGCAATGCTTTTTCTTTTCGAGTTCTACATCAAATCTTCCTTGCTTTAATAAGTGAGTTGTATCAATTTTCAGATTATCTATGATGATTGGATCTTTCATGTTCGTCAAATCTTTCCTTATCTACTTTTATTTCATAGTGAAAATCCTGTTTTAACTTGGTTATTTTTTTTAACTAAGACGCAATTAAGACAAAATATATTGCCAGTACTCTCGGAGTAAATTGCCCAATCGCGGCGAACTACTTCTCCATTAACCAGTTTTTTATAAAATATTTGCTTACTGGCGTACCTGTTTTGTTCGCCGTAATTTCTTTTTGACATTGAAAAGTCCATATCTGTAAAATTCTGATCGACCCATTTTTCTAGAATCATTTCTGAATAAATATGGCAATCCTGCCAAAGTGCTGGATTTTTAAAGTTAAAGCTTTAGAGTTTAAACGTACGCCTTCGCGCGTATACCGCCCTAGAACCTTCAACCGCCCTGTGCTACAGCCTCGAAAAGACCCCTGGTTAAACCGGCGCTCGGTATATATGTATTAGTTTATTAATTATAAGCATTTAAATAATTATATTGTTAATAACAAATTCCTGCCAAAAAAATCTGATTAGGTATCATGTTTGATATTCAGATTTAGAGAATCAAAAGGCATAAAAATTAGTAATAAAATTTCATGGATCTCAATCGACTATGATATCCCCTTTGCTCCTAGACTATTATAATAATTTCAAGCTTTGTTTTGCACAAGCAGGAACTGCAGCATTAAAATAGTTTTACAAAACAATTATCAGTACTGACATGATAACAACTATTCAGATGGACGAAAAAACAAATTTACATATCTGTAAATTAAAACGAATAAAAAGTTTAAAGGTTAACTCATATTTCTGTAGCAATTAAAATAAAATGTCAACAAGATAGTGTAAATTCCAGCGGAAAATATTGAAATGAATGTTGACTAAATTTTTCATTATCTTTCATATATATTCATAACATTTCAATGTTATTTTACTTTTTTTACTAATATTTCATTGTCTATTTATAATAATTTAGAGTAGTCGATTTTTTTGTCTAGCAGTGTATATTTAAGTTTTGTAAGATTATAAAAAATGTACAATCTCCGCTCTCCTCGAACGCGTCAGTTTGTACCACAGATCACCTACGGTCTGTGGTTTGTACACCGGTCTATCATGCATGCAATCAGTTGGCGAAGTTACGTCCCTGGACTATCCAATGTGTGACGACATATAGAAAGACTATATATACCAGTGTTTAATTAGATTAAGAGCTTTTTGTTTTGTAGTTGTTACCATACCTGTACGTTCTCAAAAATAAATTTTGTTACGAAAATAAAATTTTTAAAAATCCGTTTTCGGTTTTGACATTCGTAACTGGCGCAGTCATTCGGATTTTTCGAAGTTGTACAAGTGTTCGTGTTAGCCTTGCCGAATTTCGCGTACAATTTTTCTTTTTAAAGATTTACGGAAAAGATCCAGCTTTCGGGTACGGTAACAGCCAAACGTCCAGGGTGAGGAACAAGCATCGTCCACAACCTATTGGAGAAGCCAAGACCAGGGAGAAGGAACAAGCATCGTCCAGAATCCTATTGGTGCAGACGGAGGAACAAACATAGTCTGAAGTCTATAGAAAATGAAAATATTCATGTAAGTGTTTCCTATTTTACCAATATCCATATTTTTACCTATATATTATATATTTTTGATTCACGGTGGAGGATATTTTAGATAATTTAGTAAACTTAACATTTAACGAAATGGCTCAGCCTAATTTTCAATTAATTAAATATCAAGCTGATAATATTCCTAATTTTGATGGCAATCCAAAACAATTAAATAGATTTATTAAATCATGTGAAAATTTCTTAAATAATCATAGTAATAGAGATGCAAATAATCCTATAAATGTTTGTCTATTTGATACTGTTTTAAGTAAATTAACTGACAGAGCAGCAGACCTTATTGCATCAAGAACAGAACTTGATTCTTAGGCAAAAGTTAAAGATTCTCTTATAGTAACATTTTCTGATCAGAGATCAATTGATTGTTTAGTACAAGATATTATTTCAATGAAACCAGAAAGAAATGAAAATGCACAAAATTTTGGTTTAAGAATCCAAGATGCTAGAAGCATTCTTTGTTCAAAAATTAATATGTCTAATGACCAATTAAATGTAAAAATATTAAAAATTCAACAATATGAAGATCTTTGTCTTAAAACTTTTATAAATGGCCTTAATTATCACATGCAGTTAGTAGTCAGATTAAAGAATCCTGATCCATAGAGCAAGCAATGGCTTTCGCTAAAGAAGAAGAAAATTTTATTTCTTTCAAAAATCGAAGTAATAATACGAGACCCTCAAATTTTAATAATTCTCGATCCTATAATAATTCTAATAGAAATTCAAATATTAATTCCCAACACTCTTCATTTCCAAATAGAAATTTTTCTCGAAATCAGAATTTTTCTAATTAT